TTATAATTTACCCAGCATATATCATCATATATCCGCTTTGAGGCATAAAACACATAAAATCCACTTGGTCTCTCCATAACTCATTCATCGAATCAACTGGACGCCAAGCTTCACCGGGCACCAGTGTTCCGCCATGTGATTGCCATGAACGTGGCGCTTGATGGTGGCAATGTGCCTCGGACAATAATCGTGGATGGCGAACTGCAACATGTGAATGGGTTTTAACTGAGACACAGCGAAATCGTGAAACATCAGTTGGTATATAGATCCAAATAGTGGCCAAAAATGGGTCTAACCAGCAAACAAAGGTGCACATACGGACAATTATCTAACCCAGACCGCATGAAGTTGGGTTAAATTCTTGATTTTCAGGAAAGGTACCCGGCAAAAAAAAAGTTCAGCCTTTTGAATTGTTTTTGTCATGTATGCCCGCGTTTGCGGCAATACGAATTTGTCCCAAAACCGGGTGCCCCTAAATCCAGTGTCTAACAATAATTTCCCCAACGTTTATCGGAGAACCTGAGTTTTGAATCCAATCTTTAAATCCAATATTGAAACATCCCCATCTTTGAATCCAATTTTTCATCATTTTGCAAACATCCCCATCTTGATCTTCAAACACCACGAAATGAGCCATCACCAGATCTCGAAATGATCTAGAGAACCAAGTAACTCCGAGGGGAGCGCTTCCATGTGTCTGTCATCTCCCAAGATCAGGGCCTCCATCAAAAACTTGGATGGTCATGGTTTCACATGCAATTTTTCCATGAATTTCTGTCGCTATGTAATATAAACAACTGGTGCAAAATCAACCAAACTGTACGTGTAGAAGACTAAAATGTCTACTGAAATAAACTGAGAATGTTAAAAGTGCAAAACAATTCGGATCTAGGTGATATTCAAGACATGGTTTGATCACAAAATACTGCAAACAATGTGTTTAAAAAAAACTGGAGAACTAAAGATATTCTATATAAAATAGAAATACTAAAAACAAATCATCGCCATGTTCAAATTGTTCGCAAGGCATTGTATGTGGTTTCTTCAAAAATGTTCAAACTACAAGAAACGGGTTTTATTTAGCGCAATAAACCATCAGACTATGAATATACTTTAATATATAATTATATAATCATACAACCACCACCACGTGTATAAGAAAAACATAAATATTGAAAGACTAAAAGAAAGTACCCAACTTGAGAAAACATGACAACAACCACCAAAAACATACAACATCAGCATCGCAATCGAATCCCCATCCTCACTATTCATAGACTACCGCTACAAAAAATTACTTACTTACTGCTTCTCATGCCATTAGCCCAACACAATCCAAAGCAAATTGAATGAGCAAAAAATGTACCAGGCAGAATGAGCCTACAATCTTGGAAAGCCAAATACGCTCTGTTAAATACATTGCTGTATGTTGTTCAAGAAAGCATGGCGTCGAAATCTCAATGGTACAGAACTCGTGCATCAATAGGTTTGGTGTCCTTGCGTTTCAACACATGTGCAAATCCGGTATCACAACAAAAGCATGTTCTACGTCAAGCCGAAAGAGGCCTCAGGTTCCGTCTACCCGATTTTCTAGCCACATATTTGTTGATTGACACCATGAGAAGGGAGAAATGACACCATGCCTTCAGAGGTAGTGGGATTCCTGGGACCATTCTTGACACTGATACCTATCAAATCCACGGCACGAAGGTTCTTGGGTTAGCCTCTGCCCATTTTCCATGATTTCATGAATTCACTTGTGCTTGGAACAGCTTGATTCGACAGCTTTGCGACATCAGAGCTGCGAAGAGCATACCAGTCTGATATCACAGATGACACAACTGCGTCGTCGTTGGTGCTAGTCAGATGTGCATCCCTGGCACCTCGTGCTGTTGAAAGACTATGTTGAAGGCCCCATCCTGTTGGACTCATGCATTCTTAACGCGTTGGCTTTGTCTGATCCTGGTTGTGGTTCTTTTTTTATTTTTCTTCTTCTTGTTCTTCCTCTACTTCTTCTTCCTCCTCTTCTTCCTCTTCTTCCTCCTTTTCTTCTTCCTCCGCGTCTTTTTCTTCTTCTTCTTCTTCTTCCTCTTCTTCTTCTTCTTCTTCTTTTTCTTCTTCTTCTTCTTCTTCTTCTTCTTCTTCTTCTTTTTGTTCTTCTTCTTCTTATTATTTTTTTTTCCTATGTTTCTCTTCGGACACGTTAAGCATGAGTACAGCAACAGTGGTAGATGCATCCTCTTGTCGCTCAGTGGCAATCCAAGCTGATGCTTCACGATGGCCTTCATGGTGTACCAACAATGGTCAGCAGCAGTGGATACCATGCTTCTCGTAGCCATGCCACCACGAAAGCGCCCCAAGTACACCAACCACGCAAAATGATTGTCACGTTCTTGGAAATCTCTACTGCTCTTACCATCTCCTACCACTCAAAATAAGACTCTCAAAATATTGCACGCACGTGCCCGGCAGTTTTCGCACAAATCGCGGCTCCTTTGCGCAGCAGTTACAATGCATTTCAACACGTCAGAATTTTCCCAGAACATTCAGAACCTTACCGATGCTAATCTAAATTAATCTATATAAATATTAATCTACATAAATCGTACATCATTTGGGGGTTGTCCAAAATTATGGTACCCGAAAACTGCCCTTACGCCGCGCTTTCGCGAACCTTTCGCGTCTTTTTTCGCGCCCCAGCAGAATCGGGACATGGGATTATGATCAGGTTTTCGTGTGCAATTTCATCAAAATTCCAGGAGGTTTGTATTTAAAAACATTACTTCTGCAAGGAAAACTGCCAAACATGAATACTATAACTTATATATTTATAAATAGTGGTATTCAGACCTTTCGCAAACCTTACGCCGCGCTTTCGCGGCCTTTCGCCACTGCAGCAAAACACACACACATCCATATCTGCAGATGTCACTCGGATACTAAAAGCATCTAAAAGCCTTGCATGGGTTTTAGGACGACTCCCATTTCCCTGATCAAATTGGCTGCGAGATTTCATACCTCCCTCGTCAAATATGGTTTGTAATTTAGTAGTCGAGGCGCGAAGCCAGGAACCAGTTGGACCCATGTCAAAAATGACAGGTTATATCACGGATAAACCCCAATTCTTGGCTGGTTCTAACCTTCTGTAAGGTATGAGTGCCTCACTTGGGATCACCATCAATTAATCACTGATGTTTCTTGGCATAGAAACCCATCCAACTCTGTATCCATCAGGAAAAAAGAATATATAAACTATAAATTGAGCTAGTTGATGCTAGTTGTAGTAACCTAGACTTCTCAAACTAGCTATAAACCTAGTTAGCCATAGTAATCCATATCCATTCTGCCTGTGGTTCCCATTCCCGCCTCAAACATCCGAGGGGTGAAGCCCAGGGCCCTCACTGCGGTCATTGGTGCCATGGCGCAGCGCCGCCGCGCCAGTGCAGACGCCGAGACGCCACAGGTGCTTTGATAGGCAGAAGTCTTATCCATTATATAGATGTGTATATGTGTATACATATATATATATATATGTGATCTACTGTATATATATATGTGATATATATATATATGTGATATATATATATATGTGATATATATATATATATATGTGATATATATATGTATATGTGTGATACATATGTATGTATATATATATGTGATATATGATGTAATTATATCATCAGATTTATGTGTATGGAGGTTTCCTACAGTGGGGGTACCCCAATAGCTGGATGGTTTACCATGGAAAATCCTATGACAATGGATGATTTGGGGGTACTCCCATCTTAGGAAACCTCCATATATATATATAACATGATTATATATATATATGTATATGCCATATGTCGAACAAGATCACTAAGTTTGCTGGACTGTTCTTGTAGATCTTGTCTGACTTGTTGATCTGCCCTGGAAGAAGAGGCGTTAAAGAGGTAATATCGGGATCGCGTTTCCTGTACAAGTCTCGCTGATTTTCCAGAAAAATGTGAGTTCAAATTAATTGCAGGCACAGAATCTCTATGTGTTTAAGTAGACCTCAACAAACACAGGACCTGCGATCTATGAAGCTTCTCATTGACCAAGAAGCTAGAAAATAGTGTGAACATGTGAAAAATATATGGGTTCTGAAATGTTCCAAAACCCCCATTCCAATGGATTCAAACCTAATTTTCCCTATTATTTTCAAATAGCCATAACTGTGGACATGCCCTATAAAATCAGACAATTTTTTTCGTACATCTCCGCAGTGGTTCTTGGGATCCTCCCCGCCACTTGTTTGATGAATGGATGTCACGAACAATTAAACAAATCATATCAATAATAGATAATAATAGTATGTGTCAATACTATGTTTGCTATCTACACATACTTTAAAAAAAAAGAATTGAAATATTCCCCACGTTCACTTCCTTCTGTGGTCCGGCCACATCTTCAACGTTAAAGTCCTGATGATGGAAATGCACATGGCCGAGTTTGAAAGCCATGGCATCCCTTAGAAAGTTGGCGATTCCGTGTCACCAATGACCACTCCTCATGGTTTCAGTACTAGGCATCGGTATTGCCAACAACCAGTTGATAATCCACCAACAAGCATCAACTGGTCGTTGCAATCCGTCCCAAAAAGTATGGATCAATGGCGCAAAAAATCCCACGTGAAATCAATCAGCAGTTTCTGTCCTTATGATCCGCAGTTACAAGCTGTCCAAATGATGATTGCTCACAACACAAGTTCAATTCTGCAAAAAAACGATAACTGCCCACCAATACTAAACCTGCTTTGCTTGAGCAATGGTCAATCTTGACTGTACAGCTTGCAAAGTGACAAGTGATGACCCAATGATGTATAAACATTTGGCTGTGGGTCAAGATCACTCTTGGATAGATGAATACTAAAATGACCAATTTTGAGGGTTCCAGCTCTCAACGAATTCATTGAAGGGAAAATGTTCGGGACACCTGGGCTTTGTTGCCTAGAAGGTGGTGACCCTCCAGTTATGTTGGCTGGTTTATAAATCCCATGAACTATTAGATATAATATATATATATATAATATCTATATAATCTGTATAATTCATAGTTAACCTCGTTATAAACTAACTTAGCTATCTATCTCTGTTTTTTAATCAACCCATATTACATAACCAGATTAACCATTCCAAATCTATGGCTTTCCAGTTTCGCCGCCGGGACGCTGTAGCAACTCCTCCTGCATGTCCCGACACGCCGGCAGCTGCGCACGACAGAGCTTGGCCACGGCGCCGCAGACACGCCTTGGAGATGGAGGTTCTGTTGGAGCTTCTGCTGGGGTTAATCTATGGGTTTATCTATGGGTTTATCTATGGGTTAATCTATGGGTGAATGTATGGGTGAATGTATGGATTAATGTATGGGTTAATATGGGTTAATAATATTCAATAATGGCTAACAATAGCCAATGATGCTTAACTAATCATGTGCAATAATGGCTAATAATGGTTACTCATGTTTCTAAGAAATGGTTAGTATATATGTTAATCATTTTAATAACTTTTAATCTGAAAACGAGGCACCCCTAAAAAGCCTTTAAGGGAGGCTGATCCTCGAAAGAATTGCCATATTGGGTATCCCATCTTGGATATGCGTCCCACTTAGTAAGCGGTTTATAATCCATGTATATATATAACATAACCCCTATAATCCTAAATGTAAGTGGGGCTATTGATGCATATTCCATATGTAATTGGGGGTATAACCCATGTACTAAGTGGGATGCACCCCCAAGATATCACTTATGTTTGGGCAAATATCACCTGATGTTGGTTCGAACTATGATTGAATGCCACTGGGTCTGACCGTGAGATCAGTCTGATATTGCTTGATCCCCCCCGCAGTTCCGCTCCAAACTCATTTCACATTCGACGTACAGTACGGCAATGAATGTTGGTTGATATTGATTCACGTGATACCAACCGGGGATGACTGTCCCATAACAGCCAGCTAGTAGATGGTGTCAGAAATACTACTGGTATTGTACTGCGGGGGTGTGGGTCAAAATTGGGTTCTTCATACTAAAAATGATCCGCGCATCTACGTTCTGAAGAGGGTCTGACATTTTGACGCATCCCTGTCCCATCCCCGAAACCATCGGATATCTTAGGAGATTGCCCAGCTATCCACAATACCATGGTGAATTCCATCCCCCTGATCTTTAAATAGCCCCCATTTGTCCGAAACCGCAGTGGAATGTATTGAATCACTTAATCAACTGAGCCCAGATGGGATATTCAAAGCTGCTCCCAGGCGTGGCACAGCCGAAAAGGTTGAAAAAACCTTCGTCCAGCCACACTAAGGGATGCTCAGAGCTCAAGGGTGGATGGTGCAGCTCCAAAATCATCCTGGTTTGCACAACATGGCGAAATTGTGTCCTCAAAATTGTGGGTTTAACCGGTCAACATGGGGAGAAATGGCATCAAAAAATGTGCATTTCATGACGGATCGGGTTGTCCAAAAACGGGGATTCAGGCCCGAAATTTCTGGCAAGTTTCATGAGGAAAACGATGATAAACCCATCCGATTTTGGCGACTAACTACTCTATTTTCACAAACCCAATTGAGGGATCTTTCGCTTGCATAAAATTGGGACGTAAACCGCAAATATATATATATGTTGATTGATTTATTTCTTTATTCATTTATTTATATAACTTTATACATATACTTGATGAGATGTCCAAATGCACGTGTATCATGGACCAGAATAAACTGGCATTCAATCGCGAGATCATTTCCCCCATTTTAGGGGGTGGTTGATGAAGTTGGGATTGAAGCAACAAATACTTGATTTACCTCAGGGCCCATATAGAAGTGTCCACCTCTATCCATTTCTGGTGGATTAACCAATGGGAAAATATGGGGAAATATAGCATGATCTTCAACAAATCCAGGAATATGGGGGATGCGATCAACATCAACCAACTTAGAGATGTGAGCAACAGAGTACTTCACAAACCATTCACTGGGGATATTTCAACAGCCTGATGTTGGGAGGCAAAGAAGACCATTTGGGGTGGAACTTGTGGTGTATCAACTAGTTTGGTACAAACATACAACCAACAAGTGCAGGTGAGAACGAACAAATACGAACAACATATGTCAATCATTGCCCATAACTTTGGGGCTGCCACCAGCAAGTCGGAACGTCTCAGCAACGATGGATGCGCAATGGAGATCAAAGAAATCAAACCACTTGAATTTAATCGCAGCATGCAACAAATTGCCGACAATTGCAACATCAAACGTGAAAATTGTGAACCATCAAGGATGGGAATATCTATATATATACATATATATATATATAGATATACACATGGAAAAAAACAATACTACGCGGGATCTGACATTAGAGTATAACCAATCTATATAAATGAAGACTTGATGGTTTAAAGTCCACTACCTTCTTTTGCATGGCGTATCTAATCCCATTTTTCATATAAATTTTCCCATGATGTTCCCCCTATCTATTCCCATGTGTTCAATGATTTTTCCCATGATGTTCCAACTTTTTCCATGTTTCGCCATGAGTTTCATCCGTCCAACAACCCTCCGAGCCGCTGCTGCGCCATCAGGGAGGCGCCGCAGAAGCTCACGGCGCTGCGCAGCATCGAGGCGGAGGCGTAGATGTGGCTCTGGACCTGGTTGAGATCTCGGGAGATTCGTCGAAAGACTGGTTGAGAATGGTTACGAATGGGAAAGTCACCCACAACCTCCAATAACCATGGACAATTAATGGACAATTAATGGGAAAATCACCAATTAATGGGAAAAATCACCAATAAGAGTGGATGAATCATGGACAATCATCAATTTTCATGGGAAAATCACCAATAGTGGATGAAGATAGAGTTTAGTAAAATCTGAACCAAAAATAGTCATAGAGTAGATTACTTGTTCTATCGATTTTTTGGATACTATAAGGCTAACCATTGTCTGTTGATGGGAATTGACACCGTTCCAGAATTTTGTGTTAAATCACTGGATCACTAGATTAGTAGAGGATGCTAGAGGATGTTCCTCAATTTGAGAGTTATCTGGATTTTGTTGGAGTTGTGAAAGTGGGATTGTCTAGATATCACTAGATATCACTAGATTTTGATAATGGAGATATATACATGTGTATATATATATGTCTATGTATGTATGTATGTATGTATGTATGTATATACGACGATTTCGGATCTCTCATCCATCACGAGGTACTTAAGGATAAATCACTGGCAATTTGGGATTAAATATTAAGGCAATGGATGATGAACTAGGATATTTCGGGGAAAAACAACAGATTTATGATACTCTCTGGCAATTTGTTGCATAGCTTGGCAGAGCTGACCCATTTAGTTCCATGATTCACCTGTTCAAATTGTGGACTTTCCACAGCAAGCCGGTAAACTACCAGACGGTATCCCAGCTGACAATTCCCTGGGTCATTTTCAGGCTGTAACCAATCAAGTTACGGGTCGAATTTTTCGAGCCACTCTCACATCAACCAACAATTGGGATATATATGGTCCAACAATAAATCTTGCTGGTGGTTTCAACCCATCCCCAAATAGAAGGAAGTCACCCACGAGAACCGGGATATACCACCAAATCTGGATCTTGAGTAATTTCAAGAATATGCTGGTTGGATCTGGTTGGTGTTTTCAACCCACCCCAACAATTAATATAAACATCATCTGTGATTCATCTTGAAAAACCGTGAAACCGAGGATGTGCCACTCGCTACTCTCCTCGGGCTGTGGCCCATTTCACAATGGAGATACCATGTTGATGATACAGATTTAATCGGGTGTCTCAAAATGGGGCATCCCGATTTCGATGGATTTTTTTTATCCTAAGCCATGGTCTAATGACTGGGATGAGTGGTACCCGGGTACCCCCACTAAATATTTTTTCCGGATGTTTTGAGAAAATGCAACGAACAAGGTCAGTATCTCTCTCGAGGTCTTGATCACTCAGTATCCTACACTGCAGTTGCTGAATATGCGTGTTCAACAATGGGAGATGCCCTGATTGATCGCTTTCTTGAGTGGGAAAGTGAAGTTTTAACAAGCAGATCTTGAAGTTTTTGTTCATGAATTTCAGACAAGAGCGCAACTATACTGTTGGAAGAAAAAAACAAAAAAAAAACAGCAACTCATAGGATGATCCTCCAAGCAGTTGCTGACCCTGAAACCCTGAACCGCTTCGGAACACGCCTCATCCCCTCGAGTGAATGGAACCTAGGAAAACGGAGGAAGCTGGAGAACCCTGGGAATCACCCTTGGAGCATTTCTTGTGGCTTTTGACACCTTCTTTTTGGAGAAATCACCGCAGTAGTTGGAATAAGATGAATAAGCAAGCAAGTCTGATGGTTTCGCTCAATTCCGAGCATACAAGAAGATATGGCATCTAACATGCCAATCATACGTAAATATGATTATATATATATTATATATATAATATTATATATATATTATGTTATACATATTTTATATTATATATATTAGATATTATATATTATTTATTTAATATTATATATTATATATTATATATATTATATGTGTTATGTTGAATATATATTATATATTATATATATTATATATATTATATATATTATATATATTATATATATTATATATATTATATATATTATATATTATATATATTATATATCATATATATATTATATATTATATATATTATATATATTATATATATTATATATTATATATTATATATTATATATTTTATATATATTATATATATTATATATATTATATATATTATATATATTATATATTATATATATTGTATATTATATATATTATATATATTATATATATTATATATATTATATATTATATATATATTATATATATAATATAATATATATATATATGATTATTATATATCTGTATTGTATATATTATCTATAATTTATAATATATATATATAATACAGATATATATAATAATATAATATATATATAATATACATATAATATATATATATTGTGTATATTATATATATATATCATATATATATATTATATTATATTATTTTATATATATAATGTATTATATTATATATATATAATATTAAATATATGATATATATTATATATATTATTATGTGTCCGCCGACCCCGGTCTTCACCAAGGTGGAGCCTGTTTTTGTTGGCTTGCCACTACCTTGCCATTCGCCAGCTCCGAAAATGCCTAAAACCCTCCACGGCAGCTTCGACCCGGCACTCAGGCCACTGCCCTCTGTTGTTAAGGGCCTTGAAGCCTGCCGTTTGCCAGCCGTCAGGCCACTGCCCTCTGTGGTTAAGCGCGTTCAAGCCTGCCGTTTGCCAGCCCCCAGACGCCTAAAACGCCTAAAACCCTCCGCGGCAGCTTCGACCCGGCACTCAGGCCACTGCCCTCTGTTGTTAAGGGCCTTCAAGCCTGGCGTTCAAGCCTGCCGTTTGCCAGCCCTCAAACCCCTAAAACCCCTAAAATGCTCCGCGGCATCTTCGACCAGGCACTCATGCCACTGCCCTCTGTTGTTAAGGGCGTTCAAGCCTGCCGTTGGCCAGCCCTCAAACGCCTAAAACCCCTACAATGCTCCGCGGCATCTTGGACCAGGCACTCAGGCCACTGCCCTCTCTTGTTAAGGTCCTTCAAGCCTGCCGTTTGCCAGCAATCAGGCCACTGCCCTCTGTTGTTAAGGGCGTTCAAGCCTGCCGTTTGCCAGCCCTCAAACGACTAAAACCCCTAAAACCCTCCGCAACAGCTTCGACCCGGCACTCAGGCCACTGCCCTCTGCTGTTAAGGGCCTTCAAGCCTGCCGTTTGCCAGCCGTCAGGCCACTGCCCTCTGTTCTTGAGGGCGTTCAAGCCTGCCGTTTGCCAGCCCTCAAACGCCTAAAACCCCTAAAACCGTCCGGCATCTTCGACCCGGCCACTGCCCTCTGTTGTTAAGGGCCTTCAAGCCTGTCAGGCCACTGCCCTCTGTTGTTAAGAGCGTTCAAGCCTGCCGTTTGGCAGCCCTCAAACGCCTAAAACCCCTAAAACCCTCCGCGGCAGCTTCGACCCGGCACTCAGGCCACTGCCCTCTGTTGTTAAGGGCGTTCAAGCCTGCCGTTTGCCAGCCCTCAAACGCCTGAAACCCCTACAATGCTCCGCGGCATCTTCGACCAGGCACTCAGGCCACTGCCCTCTGTTGTTAAAGGCCTTCAAGCCTGCCGTTTGCCAGCCCTCAAACGCCTAAAACCCCTAAAATTGTCCGCGGCACAATCGACCCGGCACTCCGGCCACTGCCCTCTGTTCTTAAAGCGTTCAAGCCTGCCGTTTGCCAGCCCTCAAACGCCTAAACCCCCTAAAACCGTCACGGCACTCAGGCCACTGCCCTCTGTTGCTAAGGGCCTTCAAGCCCGGCGGTCAGGCCACTGCCCTCTGTTGTTAAGGGCGTTCAAGCCTGCCGTTGGCCAGCCCTCAAACGCCTAAAACCCCTAAAACCCTCCGCGGCAGCGTCGACCCGGCACTCAGGCCACTGCCCAGGTGGAAGCAGCGGGGGGTGACCATACCGGTTATTCTTTGCCGCCATCTTACAACCGTGAGATGGGCAAGCATGTCAACTGGTTGGCCGAGCGCGGCATTCAGTGCGTGAACTCGACGATGCTGGCGCAGGGTGGGAAGTATGACAACTACCACCTGCACGACCATCAGTTTAACAGAAAACTGGTATACCGTTTCCTCAGAGGAGCCATCACCTTTCACCTGAAATACGTTGAAGTGATGTCGAAGCAGGAAGATCTCAGGTACTACGTCCAGAAGTTCATCAGCAGCGAACAAGACCGTGTGGCCGCGGTCCATCTCTTCCCCACGATGGTTCAGTTTCGACTGGCTTTGCTCGGCACTCAAGAAGTCATGGAAGCCGTCGCCCCGGGAAAGAAGACAGCAACACCTGCTCAGGTCTTTGACGAGGCGGATGAGGAGATTCTCATGTGGGTCCATGCAGGAATTCTTGAGGCCAATGAGGAAGCCACCCGGGAGGGACGGCCACTGCCTACGGCATTCACTGATGAAGAGATCAGCTCCATTGTGCCCGTTGACCCAACTGTCGAGGACTATGAAACCGAAGAGCTGCGTGCCCGAACTTGCCTTCAAGAAGATTTGAACCAGGCGATCGCAGATGGTTTCTCAACTACGACAATTGAGTCGATCGAGATCAACCCTGAGAACACTGACGTTGAGGACGATGTGGAGATCGTGCCTGAGGTCGACGAGTGGGACTTGGTGGCGGATGACAAAGTCATTGTCAACCCCTATGACGAGAAAGTCAAAGAGGATGCGATCTCAGAGGAAAGAGCCAAAGAGGTTGAGGATCTCAACAAGATCATCGAGATCACTTCCACTGAGGACAAGCCATCGGAACGACGGCCAGCAAAATTATCGCTGATGCCGCCAAAGAAGCATCCACTATGGCTGATGAAGGGGAGGACAAAATGAAGTCATCAAGAATCTCAACGTGGAGTGTGGTTGGTGATGATGACTCGAGGCCCAGTGACATGACATCTTCCAGGATTTCAACTTGGACTGAGGTTGGTGGAACTGAGGCAACCCCCATGGACGTTGATGCCGGGAAGAAGGATGATGATGCTGCCCGGGAGGGTGAGCCGAACATTGCTGCGACTTCTGAAGCTGCCTCGTCTTCTGACAAGCCTGCTGATGACAAGACTGAGATTGTCGACCTGACCAAAGCCGAGAAGAAGGTGGAGGTTGACAAGCCAGTTGGAAAGCCGGCCGAAAAGAAGATACCAAAGAGCGAGAAGCAGAAGGCGCCCATCAGGGATACTTTCGTTTTTTTTTGCCCCCCACCCACATTTCCCTGTTGAAGCAGCGTGGCAAGTCCCACCATATAAAGAAATATACACATATTACATATAGAGAGAGCGATTTTTTTCTAGGCGGCGGGATGGTTGGGACTTATCTAAGTCGCCGTAAAATCCAAAATGAAGGTCCTGCCGCATGCAAAAAGCCGCCGCGATGCCAAACACATGCAAGACAAGAAAGCATTCCGAAAAAGAGACCGCGCCCAGGGTAGGAGAAACAGCACCCACAGATTGAAAATGCGCTAAAAGCAATTAGAAAACAAACCTTGCTTTGGACGAGCGTGTGGGGAGGAATGGAGGACACGCAATTTGTTCTTGTAAATACAGGTTCAACAACCCTGCAAAGTTCGCAGCGCACGACCTGTTCCGGCGTCGTAGGCCCGCCGGCGCAAAACAAGCAGCGCTTGGAAACAGATGCAAAGTGTAAGCAGGAGTCGTTTCACTGCACAGAAGCGGTCCCGAGCAGCTTCGAAGCACTTGGTTGGCAAAACAAATCAAATGGTCATTGGAAAGAATTGGACAGCACCTGGCACTCAAATATGCCTAACAGAAAAAGGGGTGGAAAACAACACGCATGTTCTCAGCAGCTCAAAGCCTTGTTCCGATCCGCGAAACCGGTGGTCTCACCAAAAGAAACAAGAAAGAAAGGGTGATGTGACCAGAAAGGGCAACAGGTGCAGAGGAAGAAGCAGTGAGAAAAACTGCAGGAGAAGCAGTGAGAGCAAACGAATGATACCTTCACAGCTGGCTCAAAGCGGAAGTCACCTTTTGACTCACTCTTCGATGAATTAGAGCCTCTGAATTGCAGATTTTAGCTGTTTCAGTTTCTGTCTCAGATCGACGCTCACTTTCGATGCACGATGTAGTTGCACGTAGGTCGACGTCCAATTAGTCAGAAATCAGAAGTGTGTCCACTATGTTAAATAGCCAGATGGTATATGGGTTTTGTTTTTATTGTTGGGAACGTTTTTTCCCATTCAGTTGGGAATTTCATAATCCCAACTGACTTTCATATGTTTCAGAGGGGTAGGCTCAATCACCAACCAGGATTTTGTTTATTGATGATTTTCCCAGCTAGAAACCTCCATTTATAAGGGATTTTCCACTTCGCTATATTAAATAACCAGATGGTATGTGGTTTTAGGTTTTATGGTTGGTGGTTGGAACACTTTTTATTTGTCTATTCACTTGGGAATTTCATAAGGCTCAACCACCAACCAGGATTTTGTTTAAGAATGATTTTCCCAGCTAGAAACCGCCATTTATAAGGGATTTTCCACTTCGCTATGTCAAATAGCCAGATGATACATGGATTTATCATCTATAATATTGTTTTCATCCATTATCATCTATATATATATATACATATGGATTTCTCATCAGTTATAGTTGGCACTGAATCAAGATCATGTTTGGTTGTTTGAGGCCATGGTCTGTTGAAACTTCTAAGACCAAAATGGTTATGTTATGGCTACTTGGCTACAGGATGGTGCCCCTCAGTTATAAGTTGCTTTATACACCCCATTAACTATATATCTACCATAAACCCAAACTAGTGAAATTGGAGTTATAAACGGCCCAACTGAACGCAAAATTTGTCTCGTCAAATTTGTCTCAATTCTCTTGAAGTGACACTTTGGGCGCCTTTGAAGTTTGCAACTGGGGATGAACTTGCTCCTTGTTTTGCCCAACCACATCCTGATCAAACTCGACAACACAATTGTGTTCGCATCGTCTCAATTTCTCTCTGCCAAGCTGATGACATACTTCCAGAAACATCTCTGCTAGGCTGGTAGCTCGGGTGTTTCCATTGTCACCCGTTCAAAGCAACAACAAAAACACCCTAAAATACCATGTTTTGGCTAATAGAACGACGTAACGACTTTCAAAAAACATCCTTCCCAACATTGTGTATTTGAGATTATTTGAGTTGATTCTCGGCGCCCGCCACAGCCTTCCCAAATGCATGCCTTTCATTCTTTGATTGGTTTCGACCTAGCACAGCCATGGCACAGGCACACGTCGCTAGGGCGCACACAGGCTAAAGTCAAAACCAAACCAAGACCAAATTGGTGCGCAGAGTGGCCTAAGAGTTTCGGGGCATCTTCTCCAGCAATTGGGTCAACCTTGCAGAAAAGAACAGCTGCATCCAAACACGCCCACTTTCGTTGCCAAATCCAATCGCAAAATCATTTGAAAAGGGGACGGACCTTACCAGGCATCTCCAGGATGATGGGCTCAACATCCTGTCCAAAGCTGCGCAGCACATTTGTATAGGGTGAAAGGGGCCTCTGCACACAGCCTGCCTTGAAAACCAAAGGAAGGCCTAGACTTGCTAAAGCCCCGGGATCCATGTTTTGCTATACGGTCTCTGGCCACTGCTGCGAACCAAAACTTGGCGAAGTCCAACAGGTCACGCAAGGCATGAAAGTGAGGCCTTTGTCGCGTGAGACTGCAGACCTTTCTTCCACAGCCGTATGATTTCTTTTGTGGAAGCATGGAAAATGACACAACTCAGAGCTCTTGCCAAACCTGGCGCAGCCAGTTGCATGAGGTCGAGCTGAGTAGATGATGATAGCAGCAAAGAGTTGCAGGGTGGGAAAGATTAGCTGTGCATATTTGAGTATATCATATTTCGAAATCATAAAGGAGATCATTTGATTCTATATCCATGACCTGGAATTGCAGGCCAAGCGTCCCCCAGGTTTTTTTCCTCGGCAGTTTTCGAGTCATTTTGAAAACTCCAGGTAGCCTTTGTTCCTTGGCGTGTTTATAAAAAGATAGGTGGATGGATGCATAGATAGATGGATCGATAGGTTGATAGATAGATAGATAGATAGGTAGGTAGGTAGGTAGGTAGGTAGATAGATAGGTACTTAGATAGATAGATAGATAGATAGATAGGTCAGATAGATAGATAGATAAATAGCCAGATAGATAGATAGATAGATAGATATAGATAGATAGACTGATGGCTGTTGGTTGTGGAAGAAGGAGGGGTCGCCGGCACCCGCGCGCTAGCCCATTCTATATCCGGCGATGCCTCGCCGTGTGGTGGTGGTTGCTAGGCTACCCGGGGGCGCGCCGGTGCCGCCGACCTCGTTTTTCGGGGTTCGGGGTGGGAAAAAAGAGGGTAAAATTCGAAGATGCGTTTTGGACGTCCTTGTTGGGCGTTTTTTGGTCGATTTTTGGTCAATTGTTCATATTTTTTGGTACTGTCCACGCGTAAAAATCCTGTAAGTTACAATGTTTTTGTGCCTTTGGCATCCAAAAAAAGCTTCTGACAACATGCTGGAAACTGCGTAAATACCAGTGTTTTTGCTAGGCCCGGGCCACAAAACACTGTAAATACCGTGATTTTTGCTAGCAGAGGCTCAAAACCTCGTAAATACCGTGGTTTTGCGTTGGCGCGGAGCCAAAAACATCGGTATTTACGGTGTTTTTTTGGTTCCGAGAACGTGAAAAACTGCGAAAACACCGCCTACTTGAAGCTTTTTGGGGGTTTGCAAAAACCGTCGATTTAACGATTTTGGGGGGTTTGCAAAAAGTACCAACTACAAAGATAACAACGACAACGACAACAGGACCAAGCAGCCACAGCTACAACAACAACAACAACAACAACAACCACGACGATGACGACGACGACGACGACGACGACAACAGCAAGATGCAGCTCGCAGCATGTCATGTCCGCAAGTTCAGATGAAATCCCCCTCTCTCTTTCCCTCCCCCGACCCCTACAGGCATCGCCTGTGTGCGAAGCTCTACAATATACATACATCATACATATGTGGATTTGTCCAGAAAACGATATACCCCGAACGGCCATGTTAGTGGGGGAAATGAAATTTCAAACGGATGGGTTTGGAGCGTTCCCAACATTTACAGGCAAACCCGCTACGGGTCAAAACCATTCGATACCCTTCACACCTATAGTTGTTCACCCATCCCCAAGATCTTGACCCCCAAATCACCCACCTTGATCTGCTCAAACTTCTCTCGGAAACTCTTTGTGAAGAGTTTCTGTTGCCTTCGATTTGGGTGGACAACCGTCACTTTGACATTTGCAAATGAGCCTCGCAAAGACATGGACTTCAAAGCCATGAACTACAGGGGGTCCAAGTTTCCTGTATGTTGGTTTCCTTCAAGAAAAACCTGCTGCAAACTGCAATCTTCCAAATTCGTTGTTTGACCCCTAAGTGCATTGAAACAGGATCAGGTTCCCGACGGCCAATGTGCCTGGGCGTTTGTTTCTGAACTATTTGCTACCAATTCAGTTGGTCATGTGCTGATTACAGTCCGGCAAACACACAAAAAGATGTCAAAAGCCAATGGTGTCCATATCTATGTACTAATTTTCTGGAGGATAAATCTTCGTCTTTGCCGCCAAAAAACATGTTGATTGGTGAACATTCAATTTTTTGGCCGATTGACTCCGAATTTTTGCCACTTTGAAACCTGTTCATGCACCAACCAAGTCCCATCTTTTCTGGTGGTCCTGAGCTGAGCGAAACTCGGACGCCGAAAGAAGGGCCGATCCCCCAAGACGCAGTCACCTTGCAGCGTGCAGCAGCCGGAGGGCGTCCAAGTCTTTTGTGTTTTTTGTGTTATATTTTATGTCTGTGCTGTAGGTATGTATGCATGTACAGTATACTATGCGTATGCGTATATAATATATATACATATATTTATATTTACGTTTATATTCACCCGTATTCGTGTAAACATACATGTATGTTTGTTATGTCCTTTTCAGGGTGCCTGTGTGTGTGTGTTTGTTTCCATTCTTGTAGTTGTATGTGGGTTTAATTTCCTGTAGAAACAAAAAACTATGTAATTTTAGTTTCTGATTAATAAAACCCCCTCAATAATACAAACAATTTCGGCTGACCCATTTTTTGTTGTATTCGTTTTCAATTGCACCCTTTTCCTTTTGGTATTCGGTCATGCTGTTGGCCATGAAAAACCCACAATAATATATTTTTTTCGGGCCGACCAAAATTATTTTGGTATTGGTTTTCAATTGCGCCCCTTTACTTTTGATTGAAAACCATTGGTATATGTGTATGCATGTACATACATACATACATACCTACCTACCTACATACATACATGCATTACATTACATTACATTACATTGCATTGCATTGCATTGCATTGCATTACATTACATTACATTACATTGCACGCATGCATACATACATAACATAAGATAACATAACATAACATTACATTACATACATGACATACATTACATACATTACATACATTACATACATTACATACATTACATACATACATACATACATACATACATACATACACATACATACATACATACATAGATACATAGATACATAGATGCATAGATGCATAGATGCATAGATGCATAGATGCATACATGCATGCATACATACATACATACGTACATACATACATAGATACATAGATACATAGATATATAGATACATAGATAGATGGATAGATAGATAGATACATACATACATACATTACATACATTACATACATCACATACATTACATACATTACATACATTACATACATTACATACATTACATACATACATACATGCATGCATGCATACATACATACATACCTACATACATAGGTACATACATACATGCATGCATGCATACCTACATACATACGTACATACATACGTACATACATACATACATACATTACGTACAATACATACAATACATACAATACATACAATACATACAATACATACATAACATAACATATTATAACATAACATTACATTACATACATTACATACATATTTACATGTGTGTGTTAATAAATGTATGTATGTATGTATCTATCTATCTATCTATGTATCTATCTATCTATCTATGTATCTATGTATCTATGTATCTATGTACCTATGTGTCTATGTATCTATGTATCTATGTATCTATGCATCTATGTATCTACGTATCTATGTATCTATGTATCCATGTATCTATCTATGTATCTATGTATGTATGTATCTATGTATCTGTGTATGTATCTATGTATCTATGTATCTATGTATCTATGTATCTATGTATGTATGTACGTATGTATGTATGCATGCATGTATGTATCTATGCATCTATGTATCTATGTATCTATGTACCTATGTATCTATGTATCTATGTATCTATGTACGTATGTACGTATCTATGTATGAAGGTATGTATGTACGTATGTATGTACGTATGTATGTACGTATGCATGTATGCTAATGTATGTTAATGGATGTGTATGTATGTGTATGTATGTGTATGTATGTGTATGTATGTGTATGTATGGGTATGTATGCGTATGTATGCGTATGTATGTGTATGTATGTGTATGTATATGTGTATATGTATATGTATGTAAATGTATCTATATGTATCAATATATGTATCAATATATGTATCAATATATGTATCAATATATGTATATGTAAATGTGTGTGTATGTATGTACGTATGTATGTATGTATGTATCTATCTATCTATCCATCTATCCATCTATCTATGTATCTATGTATCTATGTATCTATGTATCTATGTACCTATGTATCTATGTATGTATGTATGTATGCATGCATGTATGTATGTATGTATCTATGTATCTATATATATATCTCTATTTATCTATGTATGTATGTATCTATGTATCTGTGTATGTATCTATGTATCTATGTATCTATGTATCTATATATCTATGTATCGATGTATCTATGTATCTATGTATCTATATATCTATATATCTATGTATTGATGTATCTATGTATCTATGTATCTATGTATGTATGTATCTATGTATCTGTGTATGTATCTATGTATCTATGTATCTATGTATCTATGTATCTACATATCTATGTATCGATGTATCTATGTATCTATGTATCTATGTACGTATGTATGTATGCATGCATGTATGTATGTATCTATGTATCTATATATATCTATGTATCTATGTATGTATGTATCTATGTATCTGTGTATGTATCTATGTATCTATGTATCTATGTATCTATGTATCTATATATCTATGTATCGATGTATCTATGTATCTATGTGTCTATGTATCTATGTATCTATGTATCTATGTATCTATGTACGTATGTATGTATGCATGCATGTATGTATGTATCTATGTATCTATATATATCAATGTATCTATGTATGTATGTATCTATGTATCTGTGTATGTATCTATGTATCTATGTATCTATGTATCTATGTATCTATGTATCTATGTATCTATGTATCTATATATCTATGTATCGATGTATCTATGTATCTATGTATCTATGTATGTATGTATTTCAAACTGGTTTCAAACCCCTTTGAAGCTGAAATCCTGGAAAAAAATCTAGTTGCGGGGATGCTTTACATTATTGCGCACGGGGTGCCCCCCTTGTTTAGTCCGAAGCTACGATTATGCATATGCCCGTTTTTTCTTGAAGTAAGACAAACATATTTATGCATACGCCCGTTTTTTGTTGTTTGTGGGTTTATCCGACAGTCTGCAATCTCGGCCTGTTCTCTATATGTATACCCACATGCAGGTCTTGTCACTTGTCATATATACCTACATGTGCTTGTAAATTCCCAAACAGATTGAAATATAATTCACCGCCTGTGAAAAAAATGGTCCAAAAGAAAGAACATTTCTTTATGCTCAGAGTGGGGAATTTAAGATTTACAACAAAACGTGGAACACATTAAATTTTGAATCGAACTGTGCAAAAACGATTCTTTGATCTCTGTTTGCCACAGCGGTGGCCGGGCACCTTGCTCAAACTTCTGCATGGCAAAGAGCCCCAAACCACGGTCGCGAACACCTGCTTGGGAGGTGAAGGGGTTACAGGAATCAAGATCTGTTTCCTGCCCAACAGCACCATTCTGGTGCAGGCCGGTGTCTGGACAGCCACGTTCAATTTTTGCATTTTTCTTCAAGTCCGGTGTTGGAATCTTCCATCCAAAATTTTCACTTGGCAAACGTTCCCGGATCAACAGGCCGGCTACCAACAGTAGTCGCCCCGAACCGCCAAATGCCTGATGGCCCAATTTGTGAAAAACAGTTTGCGCGAATGGGACCCCAATTGATGATGCCCGTCAACAAATACATTGACAATAATATTCATGTCACACAGGGGCCTCGGCCATGTGGAATCAAACGTGCTCGTTCAAGTCCAAATTCCATTGAAAATGTTAACCAACCGCAACTACTACAAGATAAATGCGGAAAAAAACAAAATCGTGATATCTGTCTGCGCCAGCAATGGGCAAGCAAAGCAAACTCTTCATTGACTTCTTGCAAGGGACCCATGCCCAGTCTCACACAAGCAACTCACACCAAATACCGCCGGGGGCACAAACTGCTGCCGGGGCACGGCGCAGCTGCACGGCCCTTGTCTCTTTCAAATTTTCCGAAGGTTCTGCAACGTGATTGCCATCACTGCCATCACAGTGGTCGACCAAGGGCTGGAGCAACGCACCCAAACCCAAATGGTCCGCTTCAACCAGGATCCAGGCGAACCTGGGCGTGTTGGGTCCCCCCATGAACAACATGAACCAGAGCTCCAACGAAAAGCTCCTACCTCTTGTGAAGGCACGGCACTATGATGTGACTCCCAATCATTAACAACATCTTGCGGACACAACTGTGGCAATGTCCTGGCCCTGCAGGCAGCGCCACCACATACCAAGCAGCCGATCGGGCAACCGCTTCAGAACTTCTTTCCCTGGGCGAGGCAAGCGCCCGCCGCCGGCACCACGTGGCCGCAAAATCACAACATTTGGACCTTCAGCGTCGCACATCGCCAATCTCATGTCGAGTTGGGACCCCTCTTGTCGCAATTGTTGGCATTGTGTAGGCACCCGCGGCGTAAGCTTTGGTACTTGTCCGCGGCTACAAGTTTTGCGATGTGATTCAACAATAATCTCATTCGTGCTGGCAGTTGGCAACACTTAAGGTATCAATCACACATGCCTTGTGGCATGCACTGCTAATTTGACCCAAAAAATCTCTGGCAAAAAACACTGCATGAATTCTACTGTTAGATTCAGCACTTCATGGTCTATTTTGTGGACATGCTCCGCCATTACAGCTCGGTGTTTTTTCTTTCATAACTCAAGATGTTGCCTAGAAAGGACGCTCACGAAGAATGTCACCCTGACACTCGGAGCAGCTAGTATATGTATAACTATCTATATAATTATAATACATATATATATACAGAGCGAGCGGGCGACGGAGGGAGGGAGGAGGGAGTCCGCAGGGAGGATACATACATGCCATGCCAGGCCATGCCACAGTCTCCCAAAATCACACAGAAACTGAAGAAATGGTCATTCCCAGTAGGAAACTCACCTTGTTTTGACCCATTTCGTTGGGTTCATGTTGGATTCTAGGAATGCACAAAAATCTTGGTATCAACCGACACGGCCTCTGCAGATGCGGCGCAAAGCCGAATGGCTTTACCAAAACACAGACCAAGGAATCATGGCTGGATATGTCAACTTCGGGGGACTCGATCCAGGGTCCACATCCAGTGGTTTGGGGTTCACATACATCTCATATGACAGTATGTGAGCGCGATTTGCAGTCCTGAATCCTGAGAAATGTAGATCTTATGGACAGAAACCTGGCTTTGCTCTCTCAATCAAGTACCTGGTGTCTATTCACAAAACAGTGCCCGCATGGAAAGAAAGAGCACCATTTCCACAGGTAATCTTTTGTTTCGACTATGAGTAGCAACCCTGGGCGGTGTGGTGGTGATTTCAACCCATCCTATCCGGATAAATCATAATTTATCAGCCTGACCCAAGTCCATTGGGGATGTTTCCTAACGTCACAGTCTTGTTGGTCAAATCCCCTATTTTTCACGTCGATCCCCTAGAAATCCTGCTGTGCTAGGCACAGAATTAGGAATGGCAGTCTGAAGCAAATCCTAACTACGATTAGGTTCACTTAGATGCTGATTCGGATTTGATCAGGATAAATTCGGAAACAAGTTCACCTGGATCTTGATCAAATTCGAATTCTGATTGGCTGACCCCTGGTTCCGATCATCTGAGGGTTGACATCCAAGAACGTTGAGCTGATCTCATGAGTATCTGATGAAACCCAATTGCGGTTATACAACAGGAGTTGTATCCCCATCCCCGATAAATCCCGCGCAAACTCGTTGTAACCCCCGAAAATTGCAGCAATCCACCTGGGTTCCTCTGAAAACTAGTGGAGGATACCGAAATCCCGTGGTTTTGAAAATAATTCTCCCCCAGTAAAACTGTTATGTGGGTGTCCCCAACACTTCAATTTCAACTGTTTATTGGTTAAGACTAGTTTTAAATCCCCATGAAACTGGGCTGGTGAAGTACCCATTAGATCTAAACAATATATCTCACAACATCTGCCCACCATGTATTCATTATTTCAAATTATTTCTCCTCTATCTATATATATATATATATTATATATATTATATATATATATTATATTATATTATATTATATTATATTATATTATATTATATTATATTATATTATATATATATTATATATATCCTACTATATATATATCCTACTCAAATATCAAATTCTTAGGCCTATCCCCCACTTTTTCAGACACACGGAGCACGGCGCCTCCTTCGTAGCGGTTCACCCGTCCCTGGCGCGTCTTCAGCTGCGCAGTCTCCGAGTCTTCGCAAGGGCGGCCGTAGAGCAGACTGCCCACAGGCAGCTCCTATCTATTTCAACATCCCATTAGTCATACATAGTAATGATAATCATCATAGTAACCATCAAAATCAAGCCAAAACATAGTAATCATGGTAATAATAGTAATCATAGTAATATAATGTAATATAATATAGTCTCATATATAATTAATAGTGACTATAGTGGTATATTAATATTCCCATAGCAAAAAAAAAACGGCCGTCCTTCACCTCCACGGTGCCCGTGCCGTGCAGCCGCCGCAGCACGGCGCCCGGGAGCTCCACACGCCATTCTTGGGCAGCCAGGGGCCTTGGCCACCGTGGGTCCTGGTGTGGTAAGTGATACTTGGGTCCCAAAAGAACGTGTAGTCATGTAGTAATACAATGACTATAGTTACTATAGTGACTATAGTTTCAGTGATAGACTGGTTTAAGGGGAAATCCTCACTGGAAACCATGGCTTTTACGATCAAATATAGGGCTGTCCTGCAAATTTTCAACCATGTTTTATTGAAAATAACTGATATTTAACCCACAGCACGTAGTACAATTCGCTATAGTTTAATTGTAACCATAGTTTAAACAGCCATCGGATGTTGTTCAAAAATAGCTTAATAGTGACCCAAAAAACTATGAAACTCATATTTAAGCAGCCAGTAATATTTATTGAACCAGCTGAAAATGGTTCAAACAATTGTTTTTGTTGCGATCAACTATGACAATGAAGGTAGATTTGATTGGGGGTGTAAGAGGATATAATGACAATAATGATAATTAATCTAAAAGGATATTAGTAAATGGGGTACAGAACCAACCACATATGACATGTATTGGTACTTCTCTTTCTCTCGATCTATGTCTTTCATCTATCTGTCAGAGGTAATAGGATATGTAAACGGATATCATTGGATACAATCATAGGATATCATAGGATATGTATATCCAATATTCTGGGATATTGTGGGAAATCCGTGAGATATTGAGGGATTTGAGGGATAGAATCAATGAGCTAGATTCAATAGGGAGAAAAAACGTGTAAAAAACATTTAACTAAAGTATCGTGTATCGTTAAGGGTTTTACCACGCTCTGTGGTTGTGTCGTCAAACCTCTGTACCCCTAGTGAACATCCCCCGAAATGAAAACACACCTCTGCATTTTGATGTGAACAGGCCAATGCTGTCGTTAATTGATAGTGACTCCAGAAGAATGAAGGGCGAATCTATGTGCCTTGGGGTCACAAAGCATCACAAAATACCAGAGGCCACTCTAAAAGTCGTAATGGACCCTCCATCCCTGGCGATTCGTGAACAGCAAAGCGTCAAATCATTCACCTGCAAGTGACCCTCAGGATCATGGATGTTGCAGAATCCCGCTTCAAATGATCTGTATATACACATATACCGTATACCTATATACATACAGATATAGATATTATAGATACTATAGATATTCTAGATATTCTAGATATTATAGATATTATAATATCAGATATTAAAGATATTATAGATATTATAGATATTCTAGATATTCTAGATATTATAGATATCATGGATATTATAGATATTATAGATATTATAAATATAGATATTATAGATACAGATATTATAGATATTATACATATAGATATTATAGATACAGATATTATAGATATAGAAACTATAGATAAAGATATTGTAGATATAGATATTAGACATTAGATATTAGATATAGATGTGTAGATATAGATGTGTAGTAGATATGTAGATATGTAGATATGTAGATATGTAGATATGTAGATATGTAGATATATATATATAGAGATATAGATATATAGATATATAGATATATATATATATATCTATATATATATCGATATATATATATAGGTATATAGATATATAGATATATAGATATATAGATATATAGATATATAGATATATAGATATATATATAGATATAGATATAGATATATAGATATAGATATAGGTATTCCCCTTCCATATATACGGGGGCTGAGCATACATACACATACATACATATATATATATATATGTATACTATGGAAAAAGTCACAAAAACAACTTTGTGTCACCACTTCCCCGTCGTACTTCCTTCCGGTCCATGTTCACCCAGTGGCCCTCCATTCACATCCTCCAGCTTCACCTTCAGCCATGGAATCGTCTCCCAGTGGTACAAAATGCCTCGCAGCACCCGGCCGCGTGCCAGGACCTCGAATGGGATCTCACGGGATCTCACTCACAATGGTGCATTTCACCAGTGAATTTATGGCGCACCAAAGGAAGCGAGTTTCTAGGGGTGAGTACTCTGACCCGGATTGGCTGGTCATTTGTTGTTCTTAGCTTGTTTTTCGTCCATGAGGTTATGAGCACCTTGCAGGATTGGTTGCTGAATTGTTACATAGTGTGTGAATTGAGCGCAAGACACGAAACTTTGGGGGCTCAACCTAAAACCCATTCATGAAAATTCCTAAAGGGGAAACCCTCGATGCATCAACAGGCCATATCTTCTAGGTTTCCCAGATTCCCTCAAAAAAAATGCCTATGTCCCAGCTCGAAGAACTGGACCTGGAAATTGGGCACCCCCTAAATCTACTGGTTCATCATGTTCCTGATGATTTTCTTTTGGGAGGTGTCCGGGTGTATACCCAATTTTCAGACCCATCCAAATATCATATATATAAATTTTGGTCATGTCTCCTGTCATATCCCACGAATTGTCCTCGTTATTGACACCCCTCGAATCCCCATGAAAACCATACCATGCTTGTCCTTTTCTTGATGCTTAAAACGTAAGGTTTCATCATTTCTCATGGTGAAATCCCCATCTTCCAACCCCGCCAAGTCACGCCCAGCACTTCACCCTCCAACTGCGGGGATGCTCTCACCGCCACACGCTCGTAGCTGACCTCACGGGATGCAGCTGGGTGCGTCCAAATGGCTATATTACTATTAATGATAATAAAACGGAAAATTACTTAATTTAAAGTTTCATATATTAATCATCATGTCTATTTATTTTGGTTCGTCTGAAAAAAATATTACTAATGTGGTTAAAACAATGCCATAAACCATCCCCGAAATCACCATTTCTATAGGTGGTATAAACCATCAAAAATGGGGTGGTTTGGCTATATTCTGGAAACCACCAACAAAAGCCTGCTGGCAGCCTTCCAAACGCACAAGCAGACTCGACCGCCAATGCCACTACTACGGAAAATGATGATTCACCAACCCTATTTTCAGACAAACCCAAATGTCTTAAGGGTCCAAAATGAAAGGGGGCAAAAAAAACGAAGAAACATGAATCGAAGGAGTGCCACACACATTAAAAACATGAGACATGAATCGAAATAAAAATTGGCAGCACGCAAAATGGGAAAGCAACAAATCACTAACCCAGCAAATAGGGATGAACTGGCAGCTTCCGTTGATGCTTAGCTCCTTGTTGGATTTCCATGTGAAACGCCTTTGATACGCTGGTTTCAACCAAACGCCAACGATTGTGGTCAATCGGGACTGAGGTTGGGATGCAAAAGGGTGTGTCTGAAAAATGCGAAGTACCCCCAGTTTGCGACGGAAAATGATGGTGAACCATGAACTGAAATGGGGGGTTCCCGTAATTCTCTGGTGCCAAAGCCCAAGACCAGACCCACATGTGTAGTCTGTTTTCGTCAATGAATCCCATCCCTCTACACCATAGAAAACCCCCAAATGTTTGGTGGAAAGATACTAACATAACTATGGAAAGATCCACCATTTTTAATGTGTAAATCAACTATTTCGACTGGGCCATGTTCAATAACTATGTTAGTCATTACCAGAGGGTAATCAATGAATCTCATCCGAACTATCTCGGAAGAGACACTCAGTCCCAGCCACATACCACTCACGCACGTCCTCCTCTGGAAAGTCCCCAGCGTTGAAAGACAACTCCTCGGCACCCGCGGCACCACTTCCGGTCGACGGAGACCTTGACCTGGGCAGTGGAGGGCTTCTACCACGGGATGGTTTGGCAAAATTTGGGGTTACGAAGCATTACGAGACATGGGCATACATTATCATACATTGTCCCATACTATCCGATTATTATAAATCCCATATTATCCCATTTTGTCCCACTATTACCCAACAAAGGCATGTAGAGTAAGGATCAAAACCTGTGCTGAACCCCGTGGTGTTCACATCAGTTCATCGCCCATCAACCCATTGTCCCAGAGGTGGCATGACCCATCCCATCAATTTCAATGGTGATGGTGCATCGCCAATCGTGGATATTCTCCATGTTCTTGTCTTCAGCTGGTTAGTGTGAATGTATATATATATATGTGTGTGTAATGTACTGCAATGTACTATAATGTACTGTAATGTGTATATATATAATATAATATAATATAATATAATATATAATATATAATATATAATATATAATATATAATATATAATATATAATATATAATATATAATATATAATATATATAATATATAATATAATATAATATAGTATAGTATAGTATAGCATCATATAATATAATATGATATGATATATTATGACATAATATCATATCATTTCATTTCATTTCATATCATATATAATTATATAATTATATATATATATATACATTTCTTTATCTATATATATACACATATGTATTTATATATATATGTCCAATATATATATATATACACATATGATATATGTATAACACATGTATGTCTATGAATATATATGTATATATATAATCCCTAGTATGTTAGGCTGGTTTTCCCAGAAGTCTGGCCGCTCAATTTCTTATCCTTTCATCAAGCCACCGGGCAGTCGCCTCCACACTGGCCACCGGGGATACGGCAGCCCGAGTGGCCTGGAGACTGGATCAATGGACACCATCACCACATAGCAATGGAAAATACATCTGCCATGTAGATGATTTTCGCATGAAAAAGCTCCATGGATCATTCTCACAGCTATAAACCTTCAACAATGAGACCTTTCACCACTATGTTTCCACCACCAGCAGCTTTCAGATCACCCCCGGACCTGAGAGAGTTCTTCCGTCTCTAAGGCATCCCAATCGAACGTCTCCATCTGCGCCCATGGTAGCGGGTCGCCAGCAGCGCCGCGCGGCGAGAACGGTCGTGTCTTAGGTATCTAAGTATTTAACTCAGTTGCCGGAGGGTGGAGATGGTTAAAACATGTTGAAACCATCAAATGCTTTGACTTTCGGAAGCTTTCCACGACCCCGATGGCTTTTCAATTGTTCGAAATTCAGCCGCTAGGCATCTCACATACGACCCCAAGGCCGGGCTTGTGCTCGTCAAAAGTTCTGCAGCGCAAAATCGTTGCACCGATTTTAGGCCATCCCTTCCATGGGATAAAGTCTCAAATGTGACATATTTGACATATACATATGAATAATTATGAATACATAGATCAATCTAATCATCCTGACTCACCGGAAGAGCATTTCAATGCTGCGCACTATAGTCATCATAGGTCCCATCAAATCCTTCTGGCTACAGTTGCACTGGATACTTTTCCACACGTTGGGGCGCGGAATCAACGCTCGGCGCCACCGCAACGGGGCGCCGAATCAGCAGCCGCTAGCCGTAAGTCCCCCAGGAAGATTTGGGACGTCCCACGCACAAACTGGTGACATTTGGAGCCCCTGGAGCCACTGTCACACTGTTCAGAGTAAGTTTATGTAATTTTGGCGAGAAAACCATAAACATATCATAAACATATCATAAACTTTCTGTGATCATAAACTGAATCATTGCCATGGGATCACCCAAAGCTATCCTTGGGGCTTTACCACTGCTCTACTGTACAAAAAAAACAGATGGGAAACCTCCGGCAGTTTCACTGTAGACGCCTCCCACATCCCACCTCCGGGTGGTTCCTTTGCTTTGGCCACCCTGTTCGCAGCTTAGATCTTCGGCAACCGAGGAAAAAGGGTCATTTTAAAGATGGTTAGGCTCCCATTTTGGTTGATCAAATATCAAATCTCCATTTGAGGATGCTTAAACGTCTATTTTGGCTGGTAAAACACCCAGTTTGGCTGCTCAAAAAAAGCATTTTTGCTGATGAAATTCCCAAATATAAATTCCCATTTTGGGTGTTCAACATTGTTTAACCTCCAATTTGTCGCTTCCCATTTTGGCGAAGCCACAAAAAATCCGTTTTCCCTCGGCCTTCTGCGGTTTAGGCTCGTTGATCTTGAAGAAACTCGTGGAAAGGACTCTGTCTGCAGCTGATACCCTCTGGTAAACTAACATAGCTATGGAAAATCACTATGTTCAATGGGTAAATCCACTATAAATCACCATTTTCAATAGCTATGTTAGTCAAAACCAGAGGGTAGCTAAGATCCATTCAAAAAAGACGCCCAGAAATGGTGCATTTCGTGGAAAGTTCCATCGGATTTCCTGGGACTTGACATCGAGTTCGATACCAAAGTGGTGGAGTTCAGGGGATTTTGATCAACAAATATGACATTTACTCATTTTGACCAACATTTCTGTACAGTTTGGAGACCCAAAATATGTTTTATAGAAACATAACATAAAGAGGCCCGTGCACCCACCAAAGCATAATCAAAACTATTCATAATCATTGGTTTTATACCCATCACAAGACAGTGCTTTGCAGTTGGTTATGCCCAAGACTTCCGATGCTACAATGTTGATTTGCCCATGCTGCAACTTTCATGGCCAGTTGCACCCCCTCATTTTTTTACTCGGTTAGTTGAAAGGGGTTCCCATCATGGCGTTTCATAACCCCAATAACCAGATAGGTTCCTTGCCTCCTATAATAACCAATCACCAGGCATGTTGCTCACCGCTAATATGTGCTATGATCAAAAGATTGTATAGGGGGCATGGCCCAAAATTCTATAATTCATTGGTATATTACAAGCCGCATTCATGGACTGATGACCATCTCGTTTTATGGACAAATCAACAATCGTTTATCAGTTATCCCGCGGTTTTAATGGTTCAAACCCATATTTGATTGTTAAATCTCATTTAGATCCCATTAAACAATGATACCATTGTGTTACCCAAGTTGGATATATAATTTTTAAGATAATCAGCCAAGTTGTGTCATTTGCTGCCCGTCCCCACGGTTCGACTCTGCAAAGCGCTGCCCTGGAATCCTACCTCCAGTGCTCCGCGCTCCGCGCGGCAGAACTCGGTTGGTGTCAACCCACTTCCGTCGCCAGGGTGTGGGCAACTCTCGCAGGGGCCCAGCTTCACCAGGCCCCCAAGGAGAGCCCCAGATTAAAACTACGAAACTCATCCTGCTTGGGTCGTTGCAACTGCGGTAAATCCACTGGGGATGACCCATAAATTGAAGGTGACAAGAAGTTGCATTTAGCAGCTAGGTGGTTTCAACTTAAATCATGTGTGTGTATGTATGTATGTATGTATGTATGTATGTATGTATGTATGTATGTATGTATGTATGTATGTATGTATGTATGTATGTATGTATGTATGTATGTATGTATGTATGTATGTATGTATGTATGTATGTATGATGTATGTATGTATGTATGTATGTATGTATGTATGTATGTATGTATGTATGTATGTATGTATGTATGGTAATGTAATGTAATGTAATGTAATGTAATGTAATGGTATGGTATGGTATGGTATGGTATGGTATGGTATGGTATGTATGTGAATGTCAACTGGGATCATCAAGCCAGGTAAGCTGAAAAACAAGACATAATTGAAACAATCAGCAATGCTCAACAGTTGCTAGGATGTTGATCCAAACAGTGATGTGACACCCATCAGTGGCGCTGATGGCGGAAGAGAAAACCAAAAAGCCACTACAAGGTGGTAGACACGCAAAAGTCCTCACACCACCTGGCGCTTTTGCAGATGGATATGGGCATATATGGGGTTTCTAAAAATGAGGAATCCCCAAGTCACCATGGGTTTCAACACGAAAATGGCTCAAGTTTGGATGATTTGGGGGTACCCCCCATGTAGGAAACCTCCATATGGGTCAAGTCCTCTGGTTTCCATCCCACGAGTATTGGTCGATTGGGAGTATCATCGCAAATATGGTTTATTCCTTAAAGGAACCACCAACCAGCCATGAAGATGGCTTGATCACCACAAATCAGAAACTTGACCAACAAGAAATCCTCAGCAACAGCATTACAAAATGGAGATGCTTGGATTCACAAAGCAATCATTTTCTGGGTCTGAAATGATGACCTTAGCCAAACGAATTTGCCTCACCCAAAATTCCTGGCTGATTTTGAAAATCATTCAGGGGTAAGGGTACAATCTATGTCAATCTGTTGCATCCATGAGAATTTCCGCCACAACTTCAGATATCTCCAGCTTTTGGGGAAAATTAACCATATGCTTAGCATATGTTGAACAGGATTTTACCATATTTGACCATCCCAGTGGGCGCCTACACCGCATCCTGCACTCCCTCGATTTCAGGGGGCGGAATGATATCCTGCCAGGCCCAGGTTCACGGTAGATATATCGAACTAGTTCATGGTGTTTATATACTAACTTATAGGGGGGCCGCCTTGTACCTTGTTAGGTCACATACTGCCAAGGGGGCAACTTTGAATGGTGATACAGTGATATACCACTTGAATTATTCTGTTTGTTATACCGTGTTTGCGTTTTTTGGGGTCATCTGGGTCATCAACCTGTTTGAGGCTAAATTATGGTAAGGGGCAACCCTAGTTATGGTGTGATATACATAAGTGGATATATCTGGTATAACTGCCAGAGGCTCATCATTGAACCTCACGAGCTCAAAAAAAAACATTTGATAGATGATGTTCCTATTCTAAAAAATGATTTTCCAGCCAGCCAGGCTTGATTTCTGGAGAGTCAGGATAGATTTGTCATGATTATTCTGAATGTGCATGTCATACTCAGTACTTCAAGCAGCTTCGGAAGGTTGAATGATTACCTTTGGCCCCTGCTTAAGGAAAAAATATCGGAGTCCCGAATTTCAACCAAGGGAAATGAGATATCAGTGTGGTTCCAAGCTGCTCACATCTAGGCAACTTCCAGGAAACAAGGACGATTGTAGAAAATAACACCACCAACCAGAACATCATCGGTTATATACCCATTAAATCCCCATCCTAGATGGTTAAACCCACCCTGTTTTGTTGGTTAAATACCTATGAGAAATAGGAAGGTGCCTAGATTGTTTGGAGTTGCCCAGTATGTGTCCCAGTCATTCTTGGAAATCTTCCGATCTTCCCAACTTTAATGCAGATTGCATTTCCTTACTCACATGACACCTCGAACTTGGGAACTCTAAATATGTTACGGTATGTATATAGGGTTCATAAAATGGGAAGTCGCCAAAGGTTTAGATACTAAAATGAACCAATTTTGGATAGGCTTAACCTCCCTATGATTCCGATTGATGCTCCTTCTCCTTCTCCGCCGCTTCCCTCTCAGCCACTTCAATGGCCCGCTGCTGGCGTGCTTCCTTGCTAACAACCTCAAAGGGAAAGGCGACACGTGTCCAACACGTCCCAGATCTTTCGAAATTACCCTCTGGTAAACTAACATAGCTATTGAAAATACCATTTATCGTTGATTTACCCATTAAAAATGGTGATTTTCCATAGCTATGTTTAGGTCCCCTCTGATAATTTAAGTTACAGTTTGCTAATGATTTCATGGCCCAACAGTTGATTTATGTTGATTTACCTATTTAAAAAGTATCTAAAAATGGTGAAAATTGAACCATGGTGATTGCCGTGGTAGGTTCACCATCAAACAGGTAGACCAAACAACAGAAAAACCAGGTCACCTCTGGAAGACGATTCTGATCATCCATGGTGTCCCATCAAAATTGCTTGGGAAAAAAAACGATTCTTGGACCAACAAAAATGTCAAAGCCATGTTGAAAATGCAGACTTGAAAACCAGTCTTATTTCGATGAAATCCCTCATTTTTCATGGGTGGAGTTTCACATCACACATGGGGTTCTGGCTGAACATGTCGGACAGTCAAAAAGCCAATGATGTTGAAAAAATCACCAGAATTTGGACGGTTAAACCAGCTTTCATCCACCTTTAAAAAAAAAAAGACCCGCAGTCATCGGACTCAAGGCACTCTGTAGCATCCCCCAGTGTTCCACCAGGCAATGATGGCGGATAAGAGCAACCTGGAGATTCCAGCTACACATCAAACATCCTCAAACCATCCAGAAGTGTAGCTTGGGAATGCAGTCTGGGATTTTCACCATCAAAGATGATCTTAAAGAAATAGACAGTATATGATAACAATAAGTTCTAACGCTCGACCCTTCAAAACCCTGTTACGGATCCAGCTAAACAATAGCAATCATAAACCATGATCATAGTGGTGAAAAAATTGGATTTAAACTATGAAAAAACATGGGATTTAACCAATGAAGAATGTAAATGGATATATACCATGATTTGCCCAAAAAATGACAGATGCATCACCAAAATCTCATTTTACGGGGAACATGATGAAGCAAACATCGGGCATTTATACAGGGGTGGTCCCATATTTTCAGACAAACCCCAAGATACCGACTTAACCAACAAGAACTGACATCTGACCCACGAGAACGAATTTAAGCAACAGAAATGGAATTTAGCCAGCACAAATATACAAAAATAACTAAGTGCACCCAAAAAAAACTGGTGTTCTCAACTAGGCTGAAGATTTCACCCATGAAAAATGGGGCGTCATCATTGGTATCCACCAATTGAAACACACAAGTTGGTATCCCCTCAACTCCTGGTGATTATCAACATTGCTCCTAAATAGCTGCTGAATGGATGTTCACCCCCTCAAATACGGTGGCATAGGCTTTGACCCATCCCCCAAGTTAAAGTTGCAACAAATGAATCTAAGCCAGCAACGCTTAGTCAACTTAATTCTCACTCCGTCCCAGCCATCAAGGAGTCATTGTATACTTGTTCTATTCAACCATTGAAATTTTGAATCAATTTGGATCAATTTGGATCCGTTAAAAATAGAATATTCCTACGCCAACAAATGGTTTGTTATATTAATACACAATAATCAACAAAAACTCTAGCCCCAAACGAACCTTGGATTTTGATCCGTACCAAAATATTCCGGATATAGGCTATATACCCCGTAAATTATATATATATATATAGAGATAGATAGATACAGTATATCCCCAGGAAAATGGTTGTTTATTAACCCCACGACTTTGGTGGTAGTCCTCGTTTTAGTAGATGGTTAAATCCCAATTCTTCAACAGTCTTGATGGTTAAATCACCATAAAATCACCATTTCTCTAGATATTCCATCAGATTTCCCCATTCTCAACACTTCCATGCTGGACCCAGGTGCAGTCCCAGCACGCTGCAGACGATGCCCGCTGCTAAGGAAGCACCGTAGAGCACGGAGATGGCTAGGCAAAGGCCTGAGGAAATCAGTCGTTTCATGGGGAAAACAAGCCGCTTTCCGGTTATATAAGATGTTCCCCGCGACAACCAATCCAGTGAATGAAGGATCTACTGTAAGTGAGGTTTTTTAGGTGTTTTTTTTAAATGTGGATAAGAATCAATGAACATGATTAAAATGATGTACTCGGATTTGTTTAAGCATTACCAAACGAATCAACATGTTGCCATATGTTTGCATGCTTAAATCCCCTATGTCTGGACAAAAATGGTGAATCTTCCCTCTGTCGGACTTGAAGGATTGTATAAGTGAATTTATGTGGATAAGAATCGTGATGTCATATGTATGATTTTTTACCATCTCCATTGCCCGGTTATCTCCACAGTTTTCAAATCGAGTCCAATTGTTGTTTGAATCCCACCTTCTTGCTGAGTTTTCCAGGTGCATTAATCCAAGTCCATATTATATTGATAGTTGGCAGTGTGTCAAAACCTTGTACCCCTGGTGAACATCAAAATAGCTGGTAAATGGATGTTCATCCCCCTAAAAATGGTATTAATAGGTATTGATCCATACCCAGTTCAGTCCAAGTGTTGTTAATTTGGTTGCTGAAACCAATTCCAAGAATATGGAAGTCAAATGGTCATGGCCCCGTCTGAGCAAGGTGAAATATGATTGACATACCGTTGTGTATATACTTATATATATATATTATTATTATATATTACATACCCTCTGGTTCTCAAACATCAAACGTGGCAATTGGAAATCCCCTATAAAGGTTTATAGCTGGGAACATCATCTACAAATGGTGGATTTTCCAGCAAGCCATGCTTGAGGTCCCCGGAGGGTTTTTCTCCGCCACTTCAATGAGGTTCCCGGCCCGCCACGTTTGATGACACCGAAGGGAATCTCCATGGAATATCCCCTGGAATATCTCTATTGGTATCCCAAAAAAGCCACCATTTCTGATGGTTGAATTCCCCATGGTTTCATGGCTAAGTCACGATTTTTTGGGTGAATTGCCATAAATCACAAACTTTCATGGTGATAAATCCCCATAGATCATCATGTTTCATGGGATAATAATATAATAATTCACTAACCTAAAATCAGGCCATGTTGGGGTATTAATTTATCCCTTACTAACCATTAAATTGTGAGGTCACGTCGTGAGGTCGTGATGAAATTTACCCAACCCTGCACAAAATCTCGTCATCTCGTCCCTCCGGCCTGGCACGGCCAAAAACCTGGGCTTTGAAAGCAGACTTAGCCCCGGAAGAACCACATGTGTTTCCACCATTGGGGCAAAATAGTAATAATAATGATAATAATAATAATAAATAAATAATAATGGCAATAATGACAATCATCATCATCATCATCATCATCATCATCATAATGATAATAGTCATCATCACCACCACATGATGTTCCACTCATTGTAATATGTTTCAATTGGGGAAAATGATATGAGAATCATGTGGAAAAGGATGATGACAATGTGGCAAACCCAAGAAGACATGTCCATTTGCTGGCAAGAAAATTAACAACAAATAATTAAATGGTGATTGCAGACAGCAAACGGAGACACGGCCATCAATGATGTGGTAACGCTAAAGCCGCTCTTACAAACCCCAATGACTTGCCAGAAATGTGTGATATATAGATAGAATATACATATAAACCATCCCCAATCGGAGCTTTCTTGGGTTTACCACACCTTTACCAGTGAAATTGTGAGTTCTTCATATGGGAATGGGCCCAGAATCAGCCAAGTCCGTAGGTTCCCAAGTTTGTTTCAGTTTTTTCTGGTAAACCACGCATGGTTCAGACAAAAGAAAACCTCCTCAGCACCGTGTTTCTTTTCAATAGGCCCTGAGCATATTCCAGAACATTGTTTCATGTTTTCCAACAACCCCACCATATTTTAACCAAACGTTCAGTTGCTCAGCCGACCCACCAAAAAATAACCGCAGCAAGTGAGAAGCATGACCAGGATGTAGAGCAGGGGCACAAGGCGCCAGTAGGATGCATAAAAACCTGGCGAGGATGATGATTCAAAAAAGTATCAAACAATAATGACAAAAGTATGACGATCATGACAATAATTAATGACCTTAAGATGACAGGATTATGACAAAAATGACAATAATAATAACAATAGTCCAAATAATAGTAGGAATAATAAGAGTAACAACAATATAGTAATGACAATATAGTAATAATACGCCCATACACCCGTCGCCCAACGTTACTTTTAGGTTTCCAAAGTTTTAGGTTTTAAGAATTAGAGTTAGAGTTTTAGGGTTTTAGGTTTTCTGTGTTTAGATTTTAAGGTGTTCCCTTGATTTCGCCAGTCTTTTAGGGTTTTAGGGTGTTAGAGTTCAGGGTGACTTGTGCTATGATGCACAGGTCCCATACCTGAACTTTTCAGGGCCAGACTGACCCACTGAATTAGTGTTTTGAGAGTGCCTCGGTGCCACAAGACGAGGTGTTTGGCCGTAGTCATAGTAGCAATCGTCACTGGGAAAATCAACTCTCTGGAGGTCAGAGTCTGTGGACGTTGCTGGCTCCGAAGTTGCCCAAGGAACTCTTGGTTTGATACCATCCAAATAGGTCGTGCATGGAAATTTCCCTTGAAAACCACTGAGTGTAGTAAACACAATAATAAAACTCGATTGGGGATAGTTATTATTGGATTCACCACATTCACAAGGTCTTTGACCATGAAAAATATATCAGATGCACAGGTCTCAATTCCCATCTGCCCAGTCTGCCCACCTAGCATCTTGGCAGCATTCACCACGATACGGCGCATGGGTGGCAGCGGAAACCACACGATGATGCCAAGGATGTTGAAGAGCAAATGACCTTACTTGGATTTGCTTGAGGTGTCGCAAAAAAAAATGAAAATGCCCCATAGATTCCCCAAATGATGAATTTCGCATTGGAAAATAAAAAGCCACCGTAAGCAAACCTAGTAAAGGAGAATAGCTCCGCCATAATTTGATCAGCCAAAATATTACTATTTGACCATCAAAAGGAATTTCAACTGACGAATAATGGTTATGTATGATGTGTATATATATATACATATAATATATATATATGTATATAATTTATATAATTTTATATATAGGGTTGTCCATCAAGAATTGCGGATGTGCGCAAACTTTTAACGGCAATCCTAATGCTGGGATTTTGATGGATTTTGGGGTGGGCTATTTTCAGACACACCCAAACGACTTTGGCATGGATCAAAAGATTGGTACCCTCTGTTGAGTTTTGAAATGAATTCTCTTACATGGCGAACTAGGGCGAATAATTTCTGTTCCACTGTCTTGGTATAGCTCCACAAAAGGCTACCACAGAAACTACATCTTGTGTGATTGCAAGTCCCGATCAGAAATTGAAGGGTGGATCCATTTCATCGGTAGATATTATATATATATATGATATTTACATCTGTTTTTGTTGGCTGTTATCTACCATCAATCATGCTTCAGCTGGTTGTGCAACGTGGAACTCGTGGAACTTGGACCATATGGATGCAACCAGTCAAACAAACTCTGAAACTCATCAAACATGAAGCTGTGTGTCGAATTTAATATACCCCCCACTTAGGGGGTAGAATCCCATGAAAATACACATGTTTGTGGTTGGTCAAATGCAAATTTGTTTTGCTGAAAAAGGTTGAAGATTTAATGGCGGTATTTAAGCGATTATGGCGGCCTCTATAAGCACTATTTGATCACCAGAAAGTGATGTTTTACAACTGCAAATGGGAAATTTCAGGCTACACCCCTGTTCCAACGATCCAAGATTTACTTTTGTGGGATACGGAAAAAAATCCTTGCAGGTATACCATTGCTCTGAACCAACAAATTCCCCCATATTTTCCACTGGTCGTTTATCAAAAGAGACAAAAACATATAATTCCAAGTTATGGAGTATAAATTCCCCAATTCCTGTTTGTCAAATCCCAGTTTGTTCCTGCTTGAAATTAATGCTTAACCACCAAAACTGAATGCAACCAGCCTGAAACCCTGTTTTGACCACAAGCATGTGTGTTTGTGGCACAAAGTATCCCCAATTTGTTCTTGATAAAATCCCAACTTGTTGTGAAATGATTTCGGTTCACCTCGTTATCCTAGTTTTGATGGACAATATCCTGGTCTATCAGTATGATTCTTTGACATAATCCATTCTTTGGACATCCTCATTTTCGTGGTTAAACCCCTAGAATTGATGGCCATAAGGTCGATGCCCATGATATCCTCAGATCCAACTATACCACCATTTTTCAAGCGGTAAGACTATCATTTTTGGGCTTAAGTCAGCATACATGAAAAACATCCCTGTGGTTGGTTGTAGTTTGTGGGGTTTGTGGGTTGTATATCCGACAGCCATGATGAAATCCCAAAAAAAACTATCCATGACAAAAAACGCGGTGTTTTACCCGCGTTATTGGGTTTTAACCCGACATTTTCTCCAGATTGTCCCCATGATATCCCTATTATATCCCACACCACCATGATTTTTGGTTCAATCCCCATTTTTCCCGGTGGTTAAATCACCATACATCCAATTGTTTGTCCCCCAGTAACCGATGTCAGTGGCCAAAACCCAACAGTTCACCCAGTTCACCTCGTTACGGATGAACTTTACTCACTGGTTGTGCCGTTTCATCGCCCAAAATGGTTTCCAGATTATCCCCATATGATATCCATACCTTGCCACCGGTTTTCTTGGTTGAGCCCCATGTTTCATGGTTAAATCACCATACATTCAACTATTTTCCATAAAACATATCTAGTGTTGGTGATGTATTCCGATTATCCACATATTTCAAAAATCCAGATCTTAGTTTAATTAACAGCTTTAACATAAACTTTAACCACCCCAGTCATCCAAGTTTTAGCCATGCCCAGAGCCGGTGAAATCCCCGGTGGCCCTCGAGCCACAGAAGGCGATTTGGAGGCTGTCGTGTGTCGGCACAGCAAGCGCCGCCAGCAACGCCGTGAAGGTGGTGCCGATGTTGGCACCCAGCGTCATGGGCAACATCTTGTGGACCTGGGGGTTAGGTCGGTTAGGCGGTTAGCCAACAGTTAGGTGGGCTAACGGAACCTTGGTTTTTTAGTTGACGAAAAAACACAAAAAAAAGCCTTTGATTTTCAAAAGCCTTTTTTTTCAGGTTTTTTTCATGTTTTGTTCAGGTTTTTTCTGGTTTTTTGTTCAGGTGTGTTTGGAGGTTTGACCAACTAAAATGTGGATTTAAAGACACCAACAAGACCAAGCATGGAGAAAGAAGTGACCCAACAAAGAGACTTCACCACTGTTTTCCTTTTGTCACCACCCGCGCCAATTGGTTCATGATCTCAGTGATGTCTTTTTGCTAAAAATGGAAGTCGCTGGGTTGATGCGAGGGATTTTTGTACAGGAAAACCCATGCTTTGGATTCCGACAGATGGGGGTTTTCCGGTCAAATTTCTCGAAAAACAAGTCTGGTATGGAAAAATTGGGGGTGGTATGTCCATCGAACCAACAGGAGATGTTGCGTTGGTAAATGGTGAGTCACATGCCAAGATAGCGAATCCAATGGGTCAAAAATGTGCGGCAGTTTTTAGCCATGAACCATCCAATTTTGCAAGGTCAATCATTGCTTGCTTGCCCTAGTCAAACCACATTCGATTGGTGAGTTCGTCATTTAATCATTTGGAGATGAGTCTAGAGTATGTTTACAGTAGTCCTATCCCCAGAATATAAAATACTCTCCAAACAAAACTTGGTTTGGCATTGGATCTATTCATATATCCCAAACATTGCATTGGTTTAAGGAAAAAACTGCAGGAAAGCCTTATATTTGATGGGGAAAACTGGGATTTTCCCATGGTTTCATCAGTAGATGTCCTCAATCAATCCAAGGATCCAAAACTTAGTAGATATTTAATTCATGAGATTGGCTTTTTTGATCCCCTGAAGGATGGTTTTTGGTTTTAACAGTTTGTTGGTTAAACCCCATCTGGTCCAATGGTGAATCCCCCTTACAAAAATATCATGGGATCAGCCTCAAAGCATCAATTCAACCAGAAATGGCGCGCCATTTCGAAATGGCTATGTCAATGGATTGGTTTCAGGGAAAATCGGAACCGGAAACCATCGATTTTCCCATCAAATATCGATAAATATGGCGCTTTCCTGTAAATTTCCCCTTAAACCAATCCATTGACTATGAGTAAAACTCTGGTACCCTGTAGAAAAAAACAAAGTAGGCTAGGGATTCGTTGATTTTTTTGATCCTCCAAAGTGATGAAGTTGGAGTCCAAGTCTAAAAATCTGCTAGAACCACAAGGTCACAAGGTGGTGCCCCCTAGTTATTTCAGTCGGTGGGAAATTTCCCATCTAACTATAGTTATCTATATATATACAGCATAAATACACACATATATAGCCTAGCCATAAGTTACCCATCTAACCATATATATCCATCTATAATATATATATATATATTATATACAGCTATAACTATAATATCCATCTAACCGTAGCTATCATAGCCATATACCGAACCCAAGTCACTGGCAGCACGCCGATGCCACACAATGGCGTCAAAGCGGAGGTCACCACGGAACTGCTCTGCACCTTTCATCACATGCCAAAGCCCCAACTTCGGGGCAAAAGAATGGTTTGTAGTGGGTTAAACATGCTATTTTTATGGTTCATCTATGAGGCTTTCTTGAAATGGTTATTTAACGGTCGAGGAATAGAGGATGAATGGGAAATCATCCCGAAAATGGTGGTCATATAAGGGGATAATTGAATAAGTGATGATTAATATATTGGGGTTTGTCTGAAAATTGTGAACAAACAAACAAAAAGATCCTTGACACCTCGTTTCCCTAGTAAAATCGCCGTTTGAGGGTATGTATACCCGTTTTTGGACAAGCCCATACATTGGCAGGCCTTGCTACATGTGGACATATGTACAGATATACATATTTGTATATATTTGGATATATGAACATCTATACATATGCATACAAATTATGTGTGTGTGTGTTGCTATCACTTGCATCCCCATCTTCATTGGTGCGTCTTTGCTTTCCCCATCCTTCATTCCAAAGCAGGTCTTATCTTCCTTGCAAGGCACAATGAAGGTCAGGATGCCCCCCACTGCCATGGCCAGGTAGTCGTTCATGTTGGTGGCTTCTGAGTGCATAGAGCTGAGAGTTGCTGAGAGTCTTGGGATGGTGGAGCCCTCTAAAGCCACAGAATCTTGGCGAAACCACAAATCTCTGCCAGTTCACGAGTTTTGAAGGACATTGACAGGGTTCTAAACAACCACAACTGGTGCATATTACACCAATCATGTGTCGTGCTTCTCTTGCATGTGTCGGTTGCGCAGAAAAACCCTTCCTCCATGCAAAGCACCTTTCCCGGAGGGCTTAACCACGAATTCTTATGTACCACCATTTCAAGTGATGTCTCACGTTTAACCCCCACAATGAGGAAATCTCGGGTTGAATATCTATATGCCCTTGTCTGAAAATAGGGTACCTCAAAATCCATCTGTTCTTCATCATGTTCCCCATTAAACTAGCCATAGTTGGGGGGTATACCATATCCATCCATATCCCATTTTCAGACACACCACAGCCTTATCACATTGTATATCATTATATCATAATTCTACCCAATAGTTTGTTGGCTATATCCTCATTATATGGGGATGCGTCAAAACCTGTGACGTACCCCTGGCGAACCTCAAACTAGCCGCTTCTTTTTGATCTTGATCCCCTAAAAATGCTACTTGTAGCTGTTGATCCTTCTTAATCACTATTATGTGTATAATATATATATATGATATATATCTATAATATATATATATATTGTATATAATATATATTGTATATGATATATATATATATTATGTATATATATATTCAATACGTTGGTACAAAATATCCCATAAAGAATATTCCGAAAAATCTCCCCCCATTAAATCCCTGGTTGCTTCACCATGGGTTGCCCATCCTAGGACGCCAAGTTGCTGAGAATGATCGCCTTGGCCCTGCCCAGAATGAGGCTGTGCAGCAGCTTCACCATACCTGGCGCGGGCGCAGGCGCCCGGGGGTTTTGGGGCATTGGATTTGCCTGGCTTAGATGGGGGAGATGGCGATATGATGGTGATTTAACCACCCAAAATGATGATATTATGATTTTTCGACCGTCCCAAAATGCTGAAAAATTAGGGATTTGACCTGATTTAAGATGATTCACCATTCAAAATGAAGATTTAAGCATATGAAAAAATGGATTTGGGTATGTCTGATAACGGAGGATTAACCCCAACATTGCCATGTCATAAGGGAAAATGCTTTTTTAACCCATGGATTTAGGGGTACCTCGATTTTCAAACAAACCTACATGTGACACATGTGACTATGTTTGTATGTGCTCATGATGTTTGCGAGAATGACCAGGCGGTGATATTAGTAGTGGCAAGTTCTTTTTTTATGATGTACAAAGTTAGATCATGGAAAAGGCACTCTTTTCAATATGTTCATGATTTCAGTGCCCGTTCAAAAAGGATACAACCAAAGAACATAAGGATGTGTGTATATACATATATATATATTATAGATATTACATCATATTAACATGTATAGAAATACAAAGCGACATAACGTTAGCGCGTGTACCTACGATAGATGGGGATCACCAGCCACCCATCCACAGAGCATCTTTACCGGAAATTGATCCCAGGTTTACAGCAAGCCCCATAAAGATTGAAGACAAGGGCTTATCCCAACTTATGGTGTGGAAAAACCATAAGAAATGCCCATTCAGATCCATTCAGTACATTGAAAATTACCTCGAAAAAGGAGATGGTGTTACGAAAAAAATCTCCCATAACTATCCCATGATCATCCCCCGCAAGTTCCCATCAGTTTGGTTCAATCCTCTTATCTCCCCATGATATACCACCATAGCAACCATGTTTCTTGGCTAAATCCCCATTTTCCTGTGGTTAAATCACCATACATCCAACTACTTTCCGCAAAATATCTCTAGTGGTGGTTATGTATTCCTATCATCCAGATCTTCGCTTCCAGATCTTATATATATATATATATTATATATATATATCTGTATATCGTGTTTAACCATCCCAAATCAAGAAAAAACAACATCTTTCGAAGGTGAAATCTCCCGTTTTGATGGATTTAAATCATCTTCCCAGTATCCCCCATCAAAAATACCACCATTTTTTCCCCGGCGCCCCATGGATCATGATCCATATCTCCAGCGAGCCGCAAAAGAGGGACATGCAAATCACCAGCAGCGACCTTGGCGTTGTTCCCAATAGGAAAATGGTGATTTAAACATATTTAAACTATTTAAACAACAATGAATGGGGATAATGGTTTAACCAACCATGGATTGTACTATGGTCGTTTTACCAAAAAAACTGATCGGGATAAGTTTTGACTAGTCAGACCCCTAGGTGGCTTGAAATTGAAAATGACCCAAGGTGTGTGTCCATTGGCACCCTAATTTTGATCCATAGCCAAATTTGAATGTGACTCAAGGTACGAAGACAAAATCAAATGATGGACTGTTCATGTACCTAGATGTACCCAGTCCATTGACCTGGCATCTTCGAATGCCAAGACACAGAAGGAGGGCCACAATGCCACCACCTGTGTCACCCAGGCCTGGCTTTGCAGACGCATTCCCAAATTTAACTCAGTGATGACTTTGAATTAAGACTCAGTGACAACTCCCAAAAAAAATGAGTTTCCAAAGAGCCGTTTCATCTTTCAAATGTCTCTTATTTGAGTTTCAGAACCCTATAACGTGACATCACCTCACCCGGGACCCGCACCTTTCAGAAAACCTGCGTGGATGATATCAGCCTCTTCCACATGGTCGGTGAAGAACCTGCTACGTCCCAATCATCTCCAACACGGATCCAATGGAATCAGACTTTGGAGCACGAAAATCCACCCAAAAAAACCTCAGAACTGATCAAAACTCCAAGAAATGCCTCCAAAAAAATAATCTTAGTATGGGCTTCGAAGACCCTCAAAGCCACTAAACCAAGCATCCAGTATCCAATACTCTTGACCCATTGCCACATGAATCTGTACAACAACCCCGCGAAAAAACGTCAAATTCCCCAGGAAAGACGAGCAGGATAGCCGTCGGATAGCCCATGGGCTTTCTACATCAGCAGGCTGTTTCTTCGGTCCAAGGTGTAAGGATCAAAGATTGTCCAACAATGGGGCATTTGCCTCCATGTAACATCCTATCAATGGGTAAAATGACAGCAACAGAGATGGATGGAACATCCCAGCAGGTTTCGGGGGAAACTGCTGAGATAAAGATTATAGAGGCAAAATGACCCGTTTCCCCCAAAAGTGGCTCTCATTTGCCCTATAGTCGGAGCAACCCTGAGTATTCTCATGCGATCCCCAACAAGTAAGCAGAGGTTATATCATATCCGATCAAAAGGACTGGCAATGAGGGGAAGGTCTCCTATGAAATATCCCACTCATAAGGGCCACCATATCTCCATCACCCGCTTCCTAAATATCAACTCACTTCAGTTGGTTCATCCCTTCTTTCATATCCCAGTTACAATATATCCCATGAGATGAATATTCCAATTACAAAGGGGCCCCAGAACCCACTTACTAACCATCAATAAATCAATTCCATCACATGGGTGGTAAAACCTGGGTTTCCTCTCAATTTTCCCTGGACCAAACTCAGAATCCCCATCCCAGTCATGTCTATCCGTATCGTGTATGGGGGCTGAAAATAGGTTGCTACAAAATCCACCGGATTGTCAGCCACACATGCCACACCCACCTCCCAACGAATTCAATGAAGGTCCAGGTACATTCGTAAACCATGGGATGCCCCGACCCATGGGATCCCCCACCGATTAGCATCCATGATGCAACTACTCTCTTCTCCACATCCTGTTGCGATGCCGGGGTCGCAGTGTTGCAGCTCTTCTACAGCGGCCTGGAGCGGCAGGGGATGGAATGGATGAGTTTGCAGGAGAATCAACTAACAACAACTTCCAAACAGATAGAGAAGGTGAAATTGACCACTATTTCAGGAAGACTGTACTTTTCTGCATCTTTTTTTACGGCTTGCTATCAAGTTTGACTGAGCTTGAGGGTTCCCAACTATTTGTTGGGGATATCTAGTTGACTTCCCAAGACAACTGGATGAAGAGGGTCAAAGAAATCTTCAAAGCTGCGATGCTGATCATCCTGCTGTCATTCCGCTTGGGCATGCTGGGAACATTAAATGAATAAGCCTGTATATCTCTGGGGATATCATATATATATATACACTTTTCACTTTCACAGGCGCTTAAGGTCTATTCCTTGCTGCCTCTTGCAGGTGGTGCTAATTAAGGTACAAAAGAAGCTTACCCCTGGAAGTACAGTATATACACACACATACATATACAAGCAGTGAACCAAACCTGGTTGTGAAGCTGGAAGTAATACCCCTAGTATACCCCTTTTGTTGTGCAAATCCTGACTTTTGTTGGGTAAACCCATTGTTTTGATTCATCTAACCAACAATTTTGATGCTTAAAATATGTGGAAAAATCCCCATTCCCACTGCAAAGCCCTGTGAATTGGCGCCTCATTGATGTGTTTCCAGTTCATCATGACCGAATCGCCGATGCAATATTCACGGCCACTACCTGGTGGGCAAGGGATGGAAGAGGCCATGGCCCTACTGAAATGGCCCATCGGTCCTAACATGTTGGGACCTTGGGACCGGGAACACTACGCGTTCGAACTAAATATGGTCATATATATATTATAATATGGTTATACATATTAATATGGAAAAGCAAAAACCATGGCAGATCTGATAAATATGTCATTCACACATTGGTTCTGAAATCATTCTCGGAGTGTGCAATTTTCATCCGCAACACTCCCAAAGCACTTCGTCCTGCTTCATGCGGGTTTTGAATGAGACAAGAAAATATGTCCACGGTCTCGTTTTCCAAATTTGCAAATGGGTCCCCAACCATGACCATAAGTGGGTACCCTCCTTGGATGTGCATCCCAGTTGGTATATGCAGTGTATAACCTGTATGTGTAGAATTATGTGTATATATATATCATTTATAACTGGCTTACAACATGGTTATACCATGATGCACCCCCTCAAACCAAGGAACAGGACTCGCAGGACATGGGCTGTGGCTCCAGGGACAAGGCCTGGAGACCAGCTGCGAGTCATCCATCAAAAATGGTTCTATCTGTTTATCTATCTGTTCTATCTATTCTTTCTGTTCTATCTGTTCTATCTGTTCTTTCTGTTCTATCTGTTCTATCTGTTCTATCTGTTCTATCTGTTCTATCTGTTTATCTATCTGTTTATCCATATGTTTATCCATATGTTTTATCTGTTTATCTATCTGTTCTATCCGTTCTATCTGTTCTATCTGTTCTATCTGTTCTATCTGTTCTTTCTGTTCTATCTGTTCTATCTGTTCTTTCTGTTCTATCTGTTCTATCTGTTCTGTCTGTTCTTTCTGTTCTATCTGTTCTATCTGTTCTTTCTGTTCTATCTGTTCTATCTGTTCTATCTGTTCTATCTGTTCTATCTGTTTATCTATCTGTTTATCCATATGTTTATCCATATGTTTTATCTGTTTATCTATCTGTTCTATCCGTTCTATCTGTTCTATCTGTTCTATCTGTTCTATCTGTTCTGTCTGTTCTATCTGTTCTATCTGTTTATCTATCTGTTCTATCTGTTTAGCTATCTGTTCTATCTGTTTATCTATCTGTTCTATCTGTTCTTTCTGTTCTATCTGTTCTATCCGTTCTATCCGTTCTATCTGTTCTATTTGTTCTATCTGTTCTATCTGTTCTATCTGTTTATCTATCTGTTCTATCCGTTCTATCTGTTCTATCTGTTCTGTCTGTTTATCTATCTGTTCTTTCTGTTCTATCCGTTCTATATGTTCTATCCGTTCTATCTGTCTATCTATCTGTTCTATCTGTCTATCTATCTGTTCTATCTGTTCTATCTGTTTATCTATCTGTTCTATCTGTTTATCTATCTGTTCTATCTGTTTATCTATCTGTGTTATCTGTTGATCTATCTGTTCTATCGGTTTATCTTTCTGTTCTATCTGTTTATCGATTTGTTGATCTATGTGTATATATAAAACTGCTTATCTATCTTCAGCTTTCTTTAGCCATGTTTTGTCCAAAAAAAAAAACTTTCTGAAACGGGGACTAGATATATACACTTGTATACGTATGTATTTATCTATCTATCTATCTATCTATCTTTCTATCTATCTATCTATCGATCTATCTATCTATCTATCTATCTATATCTATTTTTATCTATCTCTTTCTATGTCTATCTATATCTTTCTATCTCTATCTATCTCTATCTTTTCTATCTATCTCTACCTATCTCTATCTAGTTTATCTATCTCTCTCTCTCTCTCTCTATCTGTCTTTATCTTTCTTTATCTATCTCTATCTATCTCTATCTATCTCTATCTATCTATATTTATCTTTATCTATTTCTATCTATCTATTTCTATATCTATCTATTTCTATCTATCTCTATCTATCTCTATCTATCTCTATCTATCTCTATCTATCTCTATCTATCTCTATCTATCTCTATCTATATGTATCTATATCTATCTATATCTATCCATATCTGTCTATATCTGTCTATATCTATCTATATCTATCTATATCTATCTATATCTATCTCTATCTAACTCTATCTATATCTATCTATATCTATTTATAATATCTATCTATATCTATCCATATCTGTCTATATCTGTCTAGATCTATCTATATCTATCTATATCTACCTATATCTATCTATATCTATCTATCTCTATCTATCTATCCATCCACCCATCTATCTATCTATCTATCTATCTATGTCTGTGTATATGTATAGGTATATGTTTATGCATATATATATGTATATGTACATATGCATATATATATATATATGCATATGTATATGCATATGTATATGTATATGCATATGCATATGGATATATATATGTATGTATATGTATATGTATATTTATGTTTATATGTATATGTATATGTGTGTATATGTGTATGTATGAGTGAAATTAAGTCAGCTTTGCACACCACCACTAAGGCTGGCATCCGTGGTGCAGTCCCAGGTCCAGAGATTGAAACCCAGCAACGGGAAGTTTCGCAGCTTGGAATGCAAAGTTGAATCGATTAAGATGGGATGAGTCCAGTTGAATCATAGTTAATCCAGTTGGAATTAAAACCATAAACTTTCAGAAAATCACCATTCCTCTTCTAAGAAAAACTTGCTTCTGTCAGTGCATGTTCAAATCGTTCAGGTTCCCAGTCTTAAGCGAGGTAGCGAGGAAATGCAAGGAACCTGGTTTGACGGTAGAATCAACCAAGAGGGGTGAACTGCAAACCAGTTTCGAGCTGCCACATGGGTTTGCCAAAAAATTGGAACCCCGAAATTGCAGTTTGAGAAAGTGATAACCATGAGATTCTTGGGGTGTCGTAGAATCGCCGTGTGAGCTTGTCTGAAAATTGTGTGGCCTCAAATTTAATGGTTGATCATCATGTTTCCAGGGGAAAAAAACTTGGGGTGCCCCCCCATTTTCAGACACGCTCCAAATATACCAAAATGTTGGTAGTTATATATACCCCATTGTGTCATAGCACATCAAATATGCCGATAAAATGATTGATTAATATATATATATATATATCGCAAAATATTCCATATCCCCAGTGTTGGCATTATAAGCCATTATATCCCCATGAAATATACCCTTCTTGTCACAGATCCCAATGATTTTGTTGCTTTACATCCCCAATATATCCCATAGAATGAAAGCATCGCCAAATGCACCTTGATCACATTCTTGTTGGGGTGCAAAAATTGCGCCACCAAGGGATTGACGATGACCTTGCCAGCTGGAAGTGTCACAGATCGGGTCGCTTCATAAGATTCTGACTATCAAAGAATACATAGAAACAAGGAGCTAAGGAGCATGAATCAGAATAACTCAGAATATATACTCTTCTTATGAAATTCAGATGATGCTTCTACTATCTTGGACTATCAATCGCTTTTTGTTAACCCCATATCCGCATCAGCGACATCCCGCCTTGGTGGGGGATGTAAAACTGATCTCCTGGCAACCGCGACTCAATGGATTGGTTTAAGGGGAATCTCACAGGAAACCATGGTTTACCAGCCACATGTAGAGCAAAACATCTACCCTCTGGTAAACGTTTACATAACTATGGAAAGATCCACCATTCTTAATGGGAAAATCCACTATTTCTATAGTCATTTTCAATAGCTATGTTAGTTTACCAGAGGCTACTAGATGTTTCCCTTCACGGAATATCAACTTGTAGCTGGTGTATTTATGGAGGTTCTAAGATTGGTATTGACCCATCAACATATTGCTACGGTATTGAAGTACTCCAGGACAGTACCAGTTTCTGAATTTTGCTATCACATCAGTACGTTGTCATTGTTGCATTGTCATAATGTACTATACATTGCATGACTTTAATATTCACTGCCAAAGTTCCTAAAAGCTGCTTTGTAGAAAATGCTTCAGGAAATTGGCAAAATGTGGCGGAAAGTATCCACTTGCAGAAAACAAAAGAACTAGTTAGCTAGTCTATGCTTTTTGTCTTCAGACCAAACCTTTGCAAATATGACCAAACTCAAAGCCATGGCAACATGCATTCAGATATGTATATGTATCTATATATATAATTATTCAGCTACACACACATAAATATTGTATGTGTAACGTGTATGTGTATATATATATATTATGTATCCATGCTACCTAATTCGACTTCCGATTCTAGATTCACATCTATTCCGCTCCACTCCATCATTCTGGTTTCGTTCCCTCCGGCAGCCTGATTGCCAGAACCCACAAGGGCATTGGTCAGGGTCATGGACAGCCAATAGATGGGTCCACCCTGCCCCTGAATGGCATCCACTAATACCTGCCGCTGCCAGTTATGCTTTGCTGATTGCAGGGCTTGGTAAAAGTTGGTATCTTAATTGAACATAACTATTGGGGATATCATCTCCAACAAATACTGTTTCGAGTCATGTTCAAAAACTCCAGTTTTCCGGACATTTACCAACGCCTGGATTGCGGGTCTTAAAAATGCAATGGACAACCGGTTTGCATGTTGCTATTCTTGCAAAGACCATCACAAGTCACAAGCATGATTTGCCAATCGATGTCCATCCCTAATCATTGGGCAATCAGGTGTTTTCTTTGTTTTGATGGTTGTATCATTCTCTGCATTTGGTTGGTTCTGTCCCTTGATATAGATAATATTTCTGAATAAATATCAATCCAATAGCGTATTCATCAAATATGCGGCAAGTTCTTCTGCTGTGGTATGTCAGAAGGGGTGTATATAAATATATACTAATCAAATACGGATGAGGTAACAATCAAGTGCCAAAAGCGCTTATAGCAGGACCAAACCTCAATCAATGGGATGGAAAGTAATACCCAAAGCCATCCAGAGCTGGACTACACTACGATTCAGCCTATTTTGAAAACGGAAAAGTGGATGTTCAATAATCAATATCACAGAACAGAAAGTGAAAGTATGAAGATCTATCATAAGCTTAGCCTGCATCAATGTGTGTGTGAAAATCTTGGATCCACTTTGTGAAAATGGATCAAACATTCAACCGTCCCACGGTGCCCACGTGTCACAAATCCAACTGCAAGTGGAAACATCCACAAAAGGAAAACGATCTTCCCAGCCAACATCTAAAACAGGTTGAAGTATTTGAAGTTGTCGTCGTCCATGACATCAACAAATCACCTTTGCCAACCATGATCTGTCGGCATGAAACAGCAGCCCCACCTCAATGGGAAGCAGTGTGATCACACTCAACATGTTGAACCTCACCACGCAGGGAGGCCCAAGTCATGATAGAAACTGGGAGATCAAGTCACGGTACCCCCCCCAAAAAAAAAATGGGATGATCTACAACAAAAACAACGACATAAACACCGTGAATCTGCCCTAATTTTAAGCCATTGGACTTTGGCGATCCATATCCAAGGGACATCTTCCATTTGTGTTGGGAGCATTTTAGCGGTCAGAAATGGACCAAAAACCTGACCAATTAGACCAAGTGAGTTCAGACCATTTACCCTCTGGTTATGACTAACATAGCCATGGACAATGGCCCATTTATAGATGGTTTTACCATGTTTTACCTATTAAAAATGGTGGATCTTTCCATGGCGACGTTAGTCATAACCAGATGGTATCCTTTTCAAACACCCGATTTTCTCACAGACTCACATGGCAATTTCAGGAAACCCGAAAATCGTCAAGCTGATGTGTGAATTTTCCGTCGGACCCTCCGAATGAGCTTCCCATTGTTTGTCACTTATGCCGCTGGTAAACTTCCGCATTTGTTGGTAGATTTTTTGTGGGCAAAACACCATGTTCCCAAGTTCTGGCAGATTGAAATCCCAATTTGGAAGCAAAAAAACGAAAAACTGCTTAAAATCTCATTGAATTTCCCCAACAATCACCGCATTTCTTCAGCTTGAACAGCATTTTTGTTCGCCGTTGACGGTCGCCAGGGAACATGTCGTGCACGGTGGCGCCCGAGAAGGCGCGTTCCAACTCCAGGCGTTCGCCCACGTGAGCCATGGAGACCTGATGGTGAGATGTTTCCTGTTTTTTTCGTGGGAAATGGAAAAATCACCTGCGGATGTAAAGGTGTAGAATGTGTGCGTGTGTGTATATATATATATATATATGATTATATATATATGTACATAATTATACATATATATATACATGTATATGTGTTTGTACTGTGAGAATAGGCATATCAATATAGCACGAGGGCTACATATCAATTGTACATATATCTTTGCAGAATCGTATACACAGTGTACATACTAACTGTATCTAATTGTATCTACAATACGCAAGGATACAAGACCGACTATAATCCTCTCTATCACATATTACTATGCGTTTGACCATCATACCACATTCTTGTATAAACGCTACACCTCTGGATACGTGTAGAGACTGTGAAATTCTTTGTTCACTTTTGTGGGGATACAGGGATGCACGCATCAAGATGGCACTTTAGGATAAATATCGTTGGTAGAAGTGACCAAATCTGATTTCATGCCATTTCATGTATGTATAAATATATATATATGTATGTATATTGATGTCTTGTTGTTTTTGGACATTGCCATTGAATACACTGTTTTTCTTTGCATTTCATAGTTTCCTATATAGGGCCGCCGTCTTGTCGGCTTATCAAACTGCATCTCACACTCTTATCAGTTACATAATTTCCATAGCTCTGCTTTATCAGCATTCCGTTTAAGTCTAATGTTGAATTCTGGGTGTTTTCAATACGCATGCTACTTGTTTGACAACATGTGTGTGCGACAAAAAAAACCTGAATTCAGAGGAAAATATCCCGGTTCACCCATCTAAACTCCACAAGGTCATGGAAGTTTCTGATGTCTCCCTCTTGAACTCATTGGTGAATACAAAGATTCCACTCTGGCCCAGAATATCCCCAAGGGCCCCCGGGCAATGGTATTTGTCACAGAGGTGCCAATGTTGGCTCCCATGACAATAGGAACTGCCTGGGCTGTGAAACCCCAGAGGTATGTCAACCAGTTGCTTAACTTCACACAGCTAGTAAGGAATTTCCTCTTCACCCCCATTGCAGATGGTCTCAGAAAGGAAATCATGAAACTCCAACAAAAGTCATCTATCGAGATGGCATTTTTCCAGATTTCACACCCTTGATCATGCAGATTCCTTGACCATGACCGTTACGATCCAAATTCTACTCAGTAACCAAGCTAACAGCGCCCCATTTTATCCCAAATCCCATTTTCCAAAATCCCAATTCTAAAAAATATTTATACTATAGATATAGATATATTAATACTATTAATATTAATACTCATCCATCCCCATTTAAAAAAAAAAAAAACAACAACCAACAACCCCTTCGACCAGGTCGTGGCTGCGTTGTGCACGGAGAGCTGTCCAGCTCCCACCAGACCCACCACGATGGAAGTACTGGTGGAGGAGGATTGCACCAGCACCGTGGACAGGATCCCCACCATGAGGCCTGGAGTGTGCCATATGTAGAGTGCATGTGTATCTACATCTATATATATATACACAATATGTATATATATACTATAGATATAGATATAGATATATTAATATTATAGATGTGTATACTGTATATATATAATTATATATGTGTCTATATCTATACAATACTATAATTTGTACAGATACATGCATACATGCGTTTTTCAAGCTGGGCTATAGTCAACCACTATTGAACAGTGATAAACTTTCAGACTCTTCATGCTTTATCCAAGGAACTGAGATATTCCAAGCATTTGGAGCGTACAAAATCTGTCCTCCAAACTTTTCGGATCAGAAAAATGCCCTCCTAAAATGGTCCTTCTCTTCCCCCATGTTCAACAGAAACATTCCAAGGCTGCAGTGATGTCCTTGTGAGCAAAATTCTCTGGGGCTGGGGACTGGTATACCATGTAAATCATCATTTATCCAGTACATGCTGATTTTTCATGATTTTTCAATGGGTGGTACCCCTCTTTTCTTCTCAACCCACGGGAGACATCCCCAGCCCCCCCCAAATACGCCCCGGCTGGGCGCTGCCTGCAATGGGATTGTCGGTGATGCTAAAGAGCATCCCTGCACCCTTTCCTCCGAGAGCCTGCTGAGTTGCTTAGGGCTCCGGCCCTGTACCAGTGAGCAGCAACCAAACGGGAAAAACGATTGGTGATAAGATTGATAAGTCCAATGAAAGAATTGAAAATAAGCGTTAGATAAATATATGAGATAAGTTAGATGATAAGATTGATAAGTGAGATCAAAATAAGTAGTTAAATAATGTTAAATAGTTGGTTACACAACAAATCCTCCAAAAACTATCCACCAAATTCTCGGTCCACCTTGAAGGCCATCCCCATCAAGTCCAAGCCAAAGAGAAAGGCATAGAGAGCGCCCAGCACGCCCAGCAGACGGAGAGAAGTTATGGCCACCTGAAAATCAGATACGGAAGTTGTGGCTGATAAAAAGGTAGCTGATTCGTGGAAGTTATCTGTTCGGATAGGCAAAATTCACCCCAAAAAAAACTCCAACTGGATTCACTGCTGACCTAGTACCTAGTTGAGGGAAAATGTTTAAGCATTTTAAAACAAAGGCCTTGCCACCAAGTTGAGCTTTCGATTCTACGCAACAGACATGTTCAAATGCAAACGCTCCAGTTTCAACATATCAGCCGGTTTTCCAACTTTTCCGAATCTTTTCTTGTTTCTTCGGGGATATCCCATACCAATTGTGGATTTCTATGCGCCCCAGCTGTGAGCCTTCCGAAGCAAGCCATCGCGGGGCTGTGGCTTCTCCGCGTCTTCCCCCATGGCAATTTTTGTCCTGTGCAGTCGCCAGCCTTGGCAAAAAATCCAAGTGATGCCTCGTTTGCCTTTAAATTGGTACATAATAACATGCAATAACATGTAATAACGTGTCATAACTGACTCTTTACCGCTAAATTTGGCCACATTTCTTTGGGTCTTGGACAGCGGTTCAATATGGCCTCTTTGAGCCTGCAACGGAGAGCTGTGCCTCCAGAAATGATCTTTGCTTCGAGGATAACATGAGCACTAAAGATGCAGATCACTTAAAGCCACTAACAAACCAGAATATGATGTTATCATGTCATCTTTAGCCATCTTTAACTCATCGATATTCGTTGGCCATCTTTAACTCAAAGAATGAATCCCCGGCAAATCCTATGGATGAACCCGACGTGAGGAGTACCGGCTAAGCGACATTCATCGACCACCCCACCGCTGCTGTTTGATTCAATCCATTCTGGCATCTCAGATCCAAGTCATGGGTCGGCAGCTTTCTGAGTTCAAAGAATATTGCCATTTCAACAGAGAAAAATATCAGAAAATTGGGTATACAGCATTCAATATCTATACCCTCTGGTGAACTAACATAGCAATGGAAAATCACCATTCTTAATGGGAAAATCCACTATACATAGCCATTTTCCATTGCTATGTTAGTTCACCAGAGGGTATAGATACATATCTTGGAGATCTTGGAGATATTACATGCTTTTTTCATCAGATCAATATCAGAGATCTGGTTATGTGACTTGGGATGATTTTGCTTCAGAGCAATAATAAAACCTGCCAGTCCATGTCTGCCATCCTTGAATGTCTACAAAACGGTGGTGGATTCCGAAAGCTCCGACGCACGAATCGGACTGGAATAGATTTGATTCGCCCGCCGCGTCCAGTTGCCTCATCCTTGCCATCCCAGCTGCGCTTTATGCATACCTTCTAAGCCACTTGATGGGAGATTTTTTGCCACTTATAGGGGAACTTCCTAACGAAGGGAAATTCCCAAACTCCCCACCAATTTGATGTTGGACACAGCCACGGGACTGGTTCTAAGAAACATCGATTGATCACAAGACCAGAACTTCCTCTGGCGGCTACAGCCCATTTCTCGGATGATAAAAAAAACCAGGGTGATATATATATATTATATATATATATATATATGTGTCCCCATGTTTGGAAGAAATCCATTACGGGTATAAAATGTGTCGTCCCCTTCAGTAGTTCAGCAGTGAGTTTCAGCAGTTGGTGGAATCCAAGGTGTTCCGGTCATGGCGCATTTCGCTGTTTCTGTCAGCCGTGAAACAAACGCGACGCGTGTAGAGAGCATCTGTGCGTCTTCCAAGCAATCATTGAAAATATGGATACGTGGGAATGTACCATGTACAAACCGTAGAAACAATACATACTCCAGATGAATCTCATGGCCGATCAGATATGGGGCTGGTGAAAGGCCTGGCACCGGGAGGAGTTAACATCCAGGAGTTAACAGCAGGGTCAAACTGTGACTTTGGGGTTGAATCAAAGTGACTGGACTCAGATTTACAGTCCTCTACAGCCTCTATGTTATATATATATGTATATATATGTATATGTATGTGTATATATATATATATATGTATATATATAAGATAATTGACTGCAATGTCTACTCTGTATATGATAGATATATAATTGACTGCAATCTCTACTCTTCTGCGAAATGGGACTTGTCCCTTTAATCTCCCATAATGGACTGCAAAGCTTATCCGTGTTGTCAAACACATGATGATTTGTCACTAGAAAATGAACCACCGTCAATGCAATCCACATTATTAACCATCTATTTCCAACTGGATATTCTGCATAACTTCCAATTGCAGATCAAACTTCCCTTGGCTGCGCTTGCTCAACGAGTCACCTTTACCAAGCTTGGATCTGGGTCTGAAAATGGGCGATTTCCGTGGATTCACCCCACTATTCGGGCAAAATCAACCAGTGGATCTAAGGATTTCTCTGAATTCAAAGCCTGTGCAGGCCTCTATATAGCTGGTGGCCCCATAGAGACTGCACCTTATTGATCCTCGTTTTCCTGGGCGCCAAGGCAGTCATGGAAAAGCCATGGGCGCGTCGGAGCGCCGCAAGTATGCTAACCCGAAGGGTTCAGTGGTTGTCAGAATCCCGCACATCATATATGTATATATATATATATGATATATATATATATGTATGATATGGATGTGCATAGATGCCCATCCAACTGTTTAAGCCCCACTCCATGTGACACAACATACTGCACCACTGCTCTAGTACATTGGTCCCAGTCTTTGATTTGGGCCCCAAAAAGATCGGAAATATCAAAGTTTCATCGGGATATAGTTATATAATGTCACATAGTGACATAGTATGGATATGAACTGTCCATGTTTCCCATCTTTTTGAGAATTCCTGAGAAGATCCATCTCCGCACCTCCTCATCCGAGGAGTACTGAGGCCTTTGTGGCTGATTGTCGTACCAGCTTTGAGGAAAAATTACGAGGAAACACCATATAGGACCTTCCGATGTTCTTCCCTTCTCATCCAAGTTAGGGATATTCATGGGGTTGGTTGAAAATCATGCTGCCCAGGAAAAAAATAAACAAGACTAATTACCCCTTTTCCCCATTGTTCGATGGCACAAAAAAAGGATTGAGAGGAGATGGAACCAATCAAGATTGGCGATGGAACCATTGAACGTGATTGGGGGATAAGTGTTGTTGCACCTGGAAAGCATGCGATGTGGTTCCATGAATCGGGTCAGAAGCAACAGCTCTCCGCTAAAAATTGTAAGGCCCCCACTCACCAGGTCGCAGCAAACGATAGGATGACACGTTGTACCGTTCGGTGGACTGTGCCTGTTGCTGCAAGTAAATCTCCTGCCTTAGCGCTGCGCCAAAAAGCTAAGGCAGTTCCTTTCGGAGAATCCTAGTGTCCGAGTCCTGGAACTCTAACATCTGATATCACTGATACATTATTCCTATGTTTTTTCCGGAAAATAAGCACTTCAAGGGAAGCTATGCTTTAAATAATGATGACAACCAAACATTTAGCTTCGAAGAAAGTGGAACGGACACACGTTTACAATATCTTTGCTTGGGCGGTCGAGGTTGTTGTCTGGTATTCCCTGATCATCGGTAATTCGAATTAAGCCAAACAATCAAGTTTTCTGAATGGTGACAATGCTTTCGGACTGGAGAAAACACAGGTTTTCTGAGTTGTGCGGCCTCCAAATGATTCACTTTTCAGAGTTTCCCGCACTGGCACAGTCACCCCAGAACTGCGTCGCACTAGGTCACCGGACTTATCTGGGTAATATTGCCTGAGCGGACCAGTGGTCCCCATAATTGCTGGACGATTCCTCCATATTTCTGTCAAGATTTAGCCAAGAAAAAAAGGACAAACCATGATAGATTTCGACAAGACGCGATGTTCAGCAGTGACTCGTCTATGAAAGAAAATTGCAAAGGCTTCACCTATGGCAACTGCTTCGGCTATGAACTGCAAGACGAGATACAGGACTTCCAGCCAAAGTTCCTGGCACTGCAGCTGGAATCGATGGAAGCAATTCGATGAGGGAGGGCAACAGGAATGAGAGTGTTTTGAATACGTTTTTTTTGGCGTACATAATGTATTAATGTATGTATGTATGTATGTATGTATGTATGTATGTATGTATGTATGGATGTATGTATGTATGTACGTACGTATGTACGTACGTATGTATGTATGTATGTCTCTGTGTGTGTGCGTGTATGTATGTATGTATGTATCTATCTATCTATGTATGTATGTATCTATCTATCTATCTATCTATCTATCTATGTCTATCTATCTATGTATCTATGTATCTATGTATCTATGTATCTATGTATCTATGTATCTTTGTATCTATGTATCTATGTATCTATGTATCTATGTATCTATGTATCTATGTATCTATGTATCTATGTATCTATGTATCTATGTATGTATGTATGTAGGTAGGCAGGTAGGTAGGTAGGTAGATACACAGTATGTACAATATGATGCGGCCTGATGCGAGTCATTTAGGCTGTAGTCCATGTCACGCTTATCACTTTCAGGTGATCAAAAAATGAGTCTATTGAAAACAAAAAACAACCACACATCTGTATATATATACACATATAGTTATCATCCAAACAAACCCAGTAAAAGCAGAATATATCCATATATATATATCCCCTCGAACATAAATGCTATGCCTTGTAAAACTCTACCTTCCCACATACCGTTGGCAGTATGGCATGTTTTCACCCCATTAGATTCATTAGATGCCCATCTCATGATTTCACGTAGCATTGGTGGTGAAATCCCTCAGTTTCTAAGAGTCAAATCCCCATATTTGGTGCAAAAA